AGACTGTTCTCCAAACCGAGAATCGTCCTTTGCGAATTCCAGGTATAGCTATGGCTAACCCCTATAGTTTCCAGATCCATCCCTCTATGATGATATTTATGGTTTTGTAGTATGGACCTAAAGATGTAAAACATAATTTAGATGGGTTTTAAGGAAGTTAAAGATTTTAAATAAGTCCAAAATTTAAAAAATTGTAAAATAAGGTTTCAAATATAAGAATGTTAGGTATAGCCATGGACTGCCCTTATGGCCTTTTCATCCATACCTCTATGATGAAACATAGAGTGTGAAACTAAGATGTAAAACATACCGAATATGAATTTTAAGGAAGTTTAAGAATTTAAACAAGTGCAATATTTGAAAAATTGAGAAATATCAGGTCTCAAAGGAGCACGGAAAGTGTCGCAACAGATTTCAGGCAGTCATATGTTGGATTTTGTCTGCTTTCTGAGGATTTAAGCAGGTGCATGTTAGGCAATTGCATTACCTACGAGAAAAGAACTCTTAGAGATGATAAAATAGTTGGACTTTGAGACAGCGAAGGTGCAAACAATCCACCCACATGTTTATTTGGAAATGTTGTCCTGATTTTCAACCCCTTTCAATTTTTCAATTTTTGTTGCATCAATATGTTGCGTTTTGAGACATAGTTAAATTATTAAAAGGAGTAATAATAAATTTCTTTTCCCATAGGGAAAACTAATGTGATCCATTGCTTTCAGCTTAATTTTGGTCACCCATACTTGATATCTTTAAAACCCCTGATGGAATGCATTATGCCATTAAAAGGGCTAACTGTGTGTCAAAACACAACATATTGATGCATGTGGGTGGGTTGTTTGCACCTTCCCTGTCTCAAAATATAAATTATTTTATCATCTCTATGAGTGCTTTTCCTGGAGGAAATGCATTGGCCTAACATATGCACCTCCTCAAATCCTCAGAAAATAGCCAAAATCCAACATATGACTGTCCGAAATCTTTTGCGATACTTTCAGTCCTCCTTTATGACTTCAGGTATAGCCTTGGATGTTCCTCTTTTTGAATGTATGACTTTTAAGCTTAGAAATTAGATGATGAAAATATTGTGGTCAGGTTTGATCCATGTTACAAGTATTGTTAAAAAAGAAAAATCATTAGAGTTGAGGACCTTACCCTAGGTTTTTACTTTTTCAAATTAACTACATTGTCAAAATACATAAAGACATGGTTAATTAAAGAAACATGATTTCTCTATATTTTGTTATGCCCCTACTGTAATTAAGCAATGATCATCTCCTAATACAAAATGTTATTTATAGGATATCCTATGATATTCTGAAAAAAATCATAGGATGTTCTTATTATCCTACACTTACAAGGAGTGTACTGAATGTATAATATCATTGTAAAATGAATTTCATGCCAAATAGAGTCATTTTGGCGGGAAATCAACAAGCGGAGTACCTCCGCATATTGGGTTTTCCGGAGTATATCGTCACGATATCCTCCGCCCAGAGTATATCGTTACGATATCTTCTGGATATTCATTTTGCCAATAAATATCAAATTTATTTTTTCATGTTATTATACATTTAGTACACTAAGTGTAGGATAATATAAATTATCAACACTCCCAATAAAACAACTTGTCATCAGGCAAAAGTAATTATTTGGGAAAATAAGGATCATAAGGATCATACCCCCCCCCCCCCCCCCGGCCTAGAAACTCCCGTTAGTGCAATGAGATTAGGAACTCTAGGGTAAAAGGGTCTTGTCACATTAATAATCTTCCTGTAGATCAAAAAAGTAAATATGGTGATAAATATGATCAATATGTTTCAAACAAACAGACATTGGAGAAAATGTTTACATACTGACTGCAGATGACATTTTCTAGCATAGTTGAAGAATTTTTTACATTTATTTATTTATTATTATTTTAAAATTAGAATATCAGTGTCATTTGATGCAAATTACTGCAGTCCCACATGTTCTCGTGCTGAATATAAAACAGGGTGAATACGTTTAAAATCAGCCTCTTCAAGAGTGGAATTTAACAGGGGATTTCAGATATCATTTTCACAGATATTTGAGTTCTCTCCAATAGTTCCACTTAAAACAATCTTGACATTTGGCACACTTTTAGAATGCTGCTTTATTGAATTTCTTTGTAATCTTTGAAAATTTGTCTTATATTGCTTGGCCAAAAGGTATTCATATTTTTAGGTAATGGTGTAATTTCTTCTATGGATTAAAGTTCAATAGGGGAAGCATCCATTCTTCGCATTCTTTCAGAATCCCTTACTAATGGAGACTACTAGGAGTCAAATATGACATCTATTCTTTGGGCTCCTTTACTAGGTTTGATGGAGTAGTCAAACATAGCTTTCCAAAACTCTCCAAATTTCAACATATAAGTTAATCTTAATTTTCCTTTTGTCATAGCCATTGCATTGATCACGAAAGTTTTATCAATTTGTGGTATGGTTTCATTGATCTCCATTTCAAACCCCTTTTTAAGTTCTGATTTTACAGGATAAGATAAATGATCATTGTCAAACGAAATGTTTGTATATCCATATAAGATCATAGTTTACTCACACATAGCTTGGCAAGGTGTGTCTAATTTCAGCCAATTCAAAACTCCATTTAACTGCATTCCAATTCACTACTCTAATAAACCCAAGGTCAATTTTAGATTCTAGAGAAACTAATGAAACCAATAAGGTGATCAATTTCATTGATTAAAAATCTATAAATAGCATCATAGGGAATAGCATGCCAAGTGCTTGTATTTGAATTTATGTGGATTACTCATTTGGTAGACACCTTTATCAAATGTTAAAGTGTTGATGATTTTCAAGTTGTACAAGCACAGTGTCATGGGTACTCACTTTCCTGACATACAGTAGTATTAAAATTGTGGTAAAAATTATCAAAGGCATCGTTAGTTCTTGTTTATCATCTTGTAGAAATGATATATCAACAGTGAAACCTGTATATCCCAACATCTGACAATTGTGAACACCTACCAATCATCCCAACACCTGACGAATCTGAACACATACAAATCTGAATACTTTTCCCAGTTCAATTTTTCCTCACATTGACTCCTATGTTTAAAAAATGAAATCTGAACACCTCTTAATTCGAACAATGAACACTCATATTATAAAAATTAACCTGTCTCTTTTTTACCAAATATCACATATTCCTTACAAAATTGCTCAAATATTGTCAGTTTAACACCGAATTGTTATGATATCAAAACTTTTGAATTGGATTTTGGAATGCTATTAAGCTTTTTATTATAAATATTATTGACATTTATTAATATTTTTCATTGAGAAGGCATTCATATTTCTTCAAAATCAAGAATATTGCAGATGTAAAAACCTCAAAATTCAAACACTCCTGAATAGAACGCTTTTAGCCGGTCCAAATAGCATTCAGATTAGAGAGATTTTACTGTAGTCCATGACTTTTCACTCCATCTATATGCAGCAGACTAACTGCTGCAACAGGTATATATTCTACACCTGGTCTCTAAGCTATGATATCATAGTTGGAACTATTATGCTCATAACCTTCGATTATCAGGGCTCATTCAAGGCTGTACCTGAATAACATGAATCTAAGACCTGATATTTCTCAATTTTTCAAATTTTGCACTTGTTTAAAACCTTAAACTTCCTTAAAACTCATCTTAGGTATCTTTAACATTTTAGTTAAACACTCTAAAACTGTATATTTTATCACTGAGGTATAGATGTAAAAACCATAAGGGTCATCTTTGGCTATACCTGAAATTCATAAATTTGAAACCTAACATTTACGATTCTTCAAATTTTGGACTTGTTTAAAACCTTAAACTTCCTTAAAATTCATTTTGGGTATGTTAAATCTTAGTCCCACACTCTAAAACTGTATATTTAATCATAGAGGTATGGATGTAAAAACCATAAGGGTCAGCCATGGCTATACCTGAAATTCGTAAATATGAAACCTTATATTTACAATTTTTGAAACTTTGGACTTGTTAAAAACCTCAAACTTCCTTAAAACCCATCTAAATTATGTTTTCCATATTAGTTCCACACTATAAAACCATAACTATTATCCTTGAGGGATGGATCTAGAAACTATAGGGGTCTGCCATGGCTATACCTGGAATTTGTATATTTGAAACCTTATATTTACAATTTTTCAAATTTTGGACGTGTTTGAAACCTTTAACTTCCTTAAAACCCATCTAAATTATGTTTTACATCTTAGTTCCACACTATAAAACCATAACTATTATCCTTGAGGGATGGATCTAGAAACTATAGGGGTCAGCTATAGTCATACACAAAATCCAGCTGTCGAAAATGTCAAATTTTTCGAAAAATCAACAATTTTTTTCTCAGCTCCTACCTTTTCAATGGCTTTGCATCTTTGAGGGTTACTAACCCTGCTATTGGGCACTTCACGTGTATTTTTTCAATCTCTTACAGTGTCTAATTGAAAAGTTAGGATCAAAATAGTAAGAAAATGGGTCACGAATTTGCCCCCTGGGGTGCACACTTTGTACTAATATTCAATTTTTTTAGGAGTAATCAGCATCAATTATACTGCAAATGATTCATATATATAATATCTATGTATGTCACTTACAAACATCAAAATATCTAAGGTTATTTAGTGTGAACATTTTTTTCCCCAGGGTGGGGTGTTTTTGGGGGGTGGGGGGCTAACTCCTCAAAAAAAAGAACTTCCTACCACTCTGTGGAGCTATCACCTAGGTGGAAGTTTCATCCAAGACTCTCCCCTAACTGAAAATACTGCCAAACCAACTATACACCATTTATTGAGAATTTTCCTCCTCGCCCCTAGAGTATGTGACAGTATGTCTTAAAATATTCTTAAATCCCCTCGGACCTATCTAATTAATTTCACAAAAAGGATGCATGGATATCTGACCAGACCAATCACCCCTGATTTATATTCATCAGAAATTTTAATAAAAATTCTAATACCTTGTTGATACCACTTTGGCGTAGGTGGTTGACACTGCTAGATGTGTTTCCCATAGCAACAAGCACAATGTCAGGAATGAGCGCCATGACAACCAGTAGTAACAAACCCAACCAGACTGTAGGTGAAGATAGCATTTTGTGCCAAACTCCAAGCATATTTTGTTGGTCAACAAATAGGGACCTACAATATAAGAATACTTGGTGTATAATGGTTAACAAAAAAAGACCTAAAGGTACAATACACTAAAGATATTCATTGGGCAGGTTATTTAATCCATAACGAACTATTCTAATTATACTACCAGATACAATTTACATATTTAATTTTAAAAACTGCAAAGAAACCCTGCATAATTCAAGCAGGTTTGGACTAGCCTTCATGTCTCTAAATTCATCATTTCAACTTGCAGAATTCTAGCTGAAAGTAGTGCTAAATCTTGAGATGTGATATGTAGGAATACTTACGGCCATATGACAACACTGTAAATACTTGTTCCAGCAATATAGAAAATTGCAGATATTGCTAAAGCAGCAGCTGTGATACCAGTCCAATAATATGTCTCCAAACACAGCTGAAATATAAACATATACCAGTCCAATAATATGTCTCCAAACACAGCTGAAATATAAACATATACCAGTCCAATAATATGTCTTTAAATACAGCTGAAATATAAACATATACCAGTCCAATAATATGTCTCCAATCACAGCTGAAATATAAACATATACCATCCAATAATATGTCTCTAAACACAGCTGAAATATAAACATATACCAGTCCAATAATATGTCTTTCAACACAGCTGAAATATAAACATATACCAGTCCAATAATATGTCTCCAAACACAGCTGAAATATAAACATATACCAGTCCAATAATATGTCTCTAAACACAGCTGAAATATAAACATATACCAGTCCAATAACATGTCTCTAAACACAGCTGAAATATAAACATATACCAGTCCAATAATATGTCTCTAAACACAGCTGAAATATAAACATATACCAGTCCAATAATATGTCACTAAACACAGCTGAAATATAAACATATACCATCCAATAATATGTCTCTAAACACAGCTGAAATATAAACATATACCAGTCCAATAATATGTCTCTAAACACAGCTGAAATATAAACATATACCATCCAATAATATGTCTCTAAACACAGCTGAAATATAAACATATACCATCCAATAATATGTCCCTAAACACAGCTGAAATATAAACATACACCAGTCCAATAATATGTCTCCAAACACAGCTGAAATATAAACATATACCAGTCCAATAATATGTTTCTAAACACAGCTGAAATATAAACATATACCAGTCCAATAAAATGTTTCTAAACACAGCTGAAATATAAACATATACCATCCAATAATATGTCTCTAAACACAGCTGAAATATAAACATATACCAGTCCAATAATATGTCTCCAAACACAGCTGAAATATAAACATATACCAGTCCAATAACATGTCTCTAAACACAGCTGAAATATTAACATATACCAGTCCAATAATATGTCTCTAAACACAGCTGAAATATAAACATATACCAGTCCAATAATATGTCACTAAACACAGCTGAAATATAAACATATACCATCCAATAATATGTCTCTAAACACAGCTGAAATATAAACATATACCAGTCCAATAATATGTTTCTAAACACAGCTGAAATATAAACATATACCATCCAATAATATGTCTCTAAACACAGCTGAAATATAAACATATACCAGTCCAATAATATGTCTCCAAACACAGCTGAAATATAAACATATACCAGTCCAATAACATGTCTCTAAACACAGCTGAAATATTAACATATACCAGTCCAATAATATGTCTCTAAACACAGCTGAAATATAAACATATACCAGTCCAATAATATGTCTCTTAACACAGCTGAAATATAAACATATACCAGTCCAATAATATGTCTTTCAACACAGCTGAAATATAAACATATACCAGTCCAATAATATGTCTCTTAACACAGCTGAAATATAAACATATACCAGTCCAATAACATGTCTCTAAACACAGCTGAAATATAAACATATACCAGTCCAATAATATGTCTCCAAACACAGCTGAAATATAAACATATACCAGTCCAATAATATGTCTCTTAACACAGCTGAAATATAAACATATACCAGTCCAATAACATGTCTCTAAACACAGCTGAAATATAAACATATACCAGTCCAATAATATGTCTCCAAACACAGCTGAAATATAAACATATACCAGTCCAATAATATGTCTCCAAACACAGCTGAAATATAAATATATACCAGTCCAATAATATGTCTCTAAACACAGCTGAAATATAAACATATACCAGTCCAATAATATGTCTCCAAACACAGCTGAAATATAAACATATACCATCCAATAATATGTCTCTAAACACAGCTGAAATATAAACATATACCAGTCCAATAATATGTCTTTCAACATAGCTGAAATATAAACATATACCAGTCCAATAATATGTCTCTAAACACAGCTGAAATATAAACATATACCAGTCCAATAATATGTCTCCAAACACAGCTGAAATATAAACATATACCAGTCGAATGATATGTCTTTCAACACAGCTGAAATATAAACATATACCAGTCCAATAATATGTCTCTAAACACAGCTGAAATATAAACATATACCAGTCCAATAATATGTCTCTAAACACAGCTGAAATATAAACATATACCAGTCCAATAACATGTCTCTAAACACAGCTGAAATATAAACATATACCAGTCCAATAATATGTCTTTCAACAGAGCTGAAATATAAACATATACCAGTCCAATAATATGTCTCTAAACACAGCTGAAATATAAACATATACCAGTCCAATAACATGTCTCTAAACACAGCTGAAATATAAACATATACCAGTCCAATAATATGTCTCTAAACACAGCTGAAATATAAACATATACCAGTCCAATAATATGTCTCTAAACACAGCTGAAATATAAACATATACCAGTCCAATAATATGTCTCTAAACACAGCTGAAATATAAACATATACCAGTCCAATAATATGTCTCCAAACACAGCTGAAATATAAACATATACCATCCAATAATATGTCTCCAAACACAGCTGAAATATAAACATATACCAGTCCAATAATATGTCTCCAAACACAGCTGAAATATAAACATATACCAGTCCAATAATATGTCTTTAAATACAGCTGAAATATAAACATATACCAGTCCAATAATATGTCTCCAATCACAGCTGAAATATAAACATATACCAGTCCAATAATATGTCTCCAAACACAGCTGAAATATAAACATATACCAGTCCAATAATATGTCACTAAACACAGCTGAAATATAAACATATACCAGTCCAATAATATGTCTCCAAACACAGCTGAAATATAAACATATACCAGTCCAATAATATGTCTTCAACACAGCTGAAATATAAACATATACCAGTCCAATAATATGTCTCCAAACACAGCTGAAATATAAACATATACCAGTCCAATAATATGTGTCCAAACACAGCTGAAATATAAACATATACCAGTCCAATAATATGTCTCCAAACACAGCTGAAATATAAACATATACCAGTCCAATAATATGTCTCCATACACAGCTGAAATATAAACATATACCAGTCCAATAATATGTTTCTAAACACAGCTGAAATATAAACATATACCAGTCCAATAATATGTTTCTAAACACAGCTGAAATATAAACATATACCAGTCCAATAATATGTCTCCAAACACAGCTGAAATATAAACATATACCAGTCCAATAACATGTCTCTAAACACAGCTGAAATATAAACATATACCAGTCCAATAATATGTCTCCATACACAGCTGAAATATAAACATATACCAGTCCAATAACATGTCTCTAAACACAGCTGAAATATAAACATATACCAGTCCAATAATATGTCTCTTAACACAGCTGAAATATAAACATATACCAGTCCAATAATATGTCTTTCAACACAGCTGAAATATAAACATATACCAGTCCAATAATATGTCTCTTAACACAGCTGAAATATAAACATATACCAGTCCAATAATATGTTTCTAAACACAGCTGAAATATAAACATATACCAGTCCAATAATATGTCTCTAAACACAGCTGAAATATAAACATATACCAGTCCAATAATATGTCTCCAAACACAGCTGAAATATAAACATATACCAGTCCAATAATATGTCTCCAAACACAGCTGAAATATAAACATATACCAGTCCAATAATATGTCTTTAAATACAGCTGAAATATAAACATATACCAGTCCAATAATATGTCTCCAATCACAGCTGAAATATAAACATATACCATCCAATAATATGTCTCTAAACACAGCTGAAATATAAACATATACCAGTCCAATAACATGTCTCTAAACACAGCTGAAATATAAACATATACCAGTCCAATAATATGTCTCCAAACACAGCTGAAATATAAACATATACCAGTCCAATAATATGTCTCCAAACACAGCTGAAATATAAACATATACCAGTCCAATAATATGTCTCCAAACACAGCTGAAATATAAACATATACCAGTCCAATAATATGTCACTAAACACAGCTGAAATATAAACATATACCATCCAATAATATGTCACTAAACACAGCTGAAATATAAACATATACCAGTCCAATAATATGTCTTTCAACACAGCTGAAATATAAACATATACCAGTCCAATAATATGTCTCTTAACACAGCTGAAATATAAACATATACCAGTCCAATAATATGTCTCCAAACACAGCTGAAATATAAACATATACCAGTCCAATAATATGTCACTAAACACAGCTGAAATATAAACATATACCATCCAATAATATGTCCCTAAACACAGCTGAAATATAAACATATACCAGTCCAATAATATGTCTTTCAACACAGCTGAAATATAAACATATACCAGTCCAATAATATGTCTCTTAACACAGCTGAAATATAAACATATACCAGTCCAATAACATGTCTCTAAACACAGCTGAAATATAAACATATACCAGTCCAATAATATGTCTCTTAACACAGCTGAAATATAAACATATACCAGTCCAATAACATGTCTCTAAACACAGCTGAAATATAAACATATACCAGTCCAATAATATGTTTCTAAACACAGCTGAAATATAAACATATACCAGTCCAATAATATGTCTCTAAACACAGCTGAAATATAAACATATACCAGTCCAATAATATGTCTCCAAACACAGCTGAAATATAAACATATACCAGTCCAATAATATGTCTCCAAACACAGCTGAAATATAAACATATACCAGTCCAATAATATGTCTCCAAACACAGCTGAAATATAAACATATACCAGTCCAATAATATGTCTCTAAACACAGCTGAAATATAAACATATACCATCCAATAATATGTCTCTAAACACAGCTGAAATATAAACATATACCAGTCCAATAATATGTCTCTAAACACAGCTGAAATATAAACATATACCAGTCCAATAATATGTCTTTCAACACAGCTGAAATATAAACATATACCAGTCCAATAATATGTCTCTAAACACAGCTGAAATATAAACATATACCAGTCCAATAATATGTCTCCAAACACAGCTGAAATATAAACATATACCAGTCCAATGATATGTCTTTCAACACAGCTGAAATATAAACATATACCAGTCCAATAATATGTCTCTAAACACAGCTGAAATATAAACATATACCAGTCCAATAACATGTCTCTAAACACAGCTGAAATATAAACATATAAAAGTCCAATAATATGTCTCTTAACACAGCTGAAATATAAACATATACCAGTCCAATAATATGTCTCCAAACACAGCTGAAATATAAACATATACCAGTCCAATAATATGTCACTAAACACAGCTGAAATATAAACATATACCATCCAATAATATGTCTCTTAACACAGCTGAAATATAAACATATACCAGTCCAATAATATGTCTCTAAACACAGCTGAAATATAAACATATACCAGTCCAATAACATGTCTCTAAACACAGCTGAAATATAAACATATACCAGTCCAATAATATGTCTCCAAACACAGCTGAAATATAAACATATACCAGTCCAATAATATGTCTCTAAACACAGCTGAAATATAAACATATACCAGTCCAATAACATGTCTCTAAACACAGCTGAAATATAAACATATACCAGTCCAATAATATGTCTTTCAACACAGCTGAAATATAAACATATACCAGTCCAATAATATGTCTCCAAACACAGCTGAAATATAAACATATACCAGTCCAATAACATGTCTCTAAACACAGCTGAAATATAAACATATACCAGTCCAATAATATGTCTCCAAACACAGCTGAAATATAAACATATACCAGTCCAATAATATGTCTCTAAACACAGCTGAAATATAAACATATACCAGTCCAATAACATGTCTCTAAACACAGCTGAAATATAAACATATACCAGTCCAATAATATGTCTCCAAACACAGCTGAAATATAAACATATACCAGTCCAATAATATGTCTCTAAACACAGCTGAAATATAAACATATACCAGTCCAATAATATGTCCCTAAACACAGCTGAAATATAAACATATACCAGTCCAATAATATGTCTCCATACACAGCTGAAATATAAACATATACCATCCAATAATATGTCTCTTAACACAGCTGAAATATAAACATATACCAGTCCAATAATATGTCTCTAAACACAGCTGAAATATAAACATATACCAGTCCAATAATATGTCTCTAAACACAGCTGAAATATAAACATATACCATCCAATAATATGTTTCTAAACACAGCTGAAATATAAACATATACCATCCAATAACATGTCTCTAAACACAGCTGAAATATAAACATATACCAGTCCAATAATATGTCTCTAAACACAGCTGAAATATAAACATATACCAGTCCAATAATATGTCTCCAAACACAGCTGAAATATAAACATATACCAGTCCAATAATATGTCTCCAAACACAGCTGAAATATAAACATATACCAGTCCAATAATATGTCTCCAAACACAGCTGAAATATAAACATATACCAGTCCAATAATATGTCTCCATACACAGCTGAAATATAAACATATACCAGTCCAATAATATGTTTCTAAACACAGCTGAAATATAAACATATACCAGTCCAATAATATGTTTCTAAACACAGCTGAAATATAAACATATACCAGTCCAATAATATGTTTCTAAACACAGCTGAAATATAAACATATACCAGTCCAATAATATGTCTCTAAACACAGCTGAAATATAAACATATACCATCCAATAATATGTCACTAAACACAGCTGAAATATAAACATATACCAGTCCAATAATATGTCTTTCAACACAGCTGAAATATAAACATATACCAGTCCAATAATATGTCTCTTAACACAGCTGAAATATAAACATATACCAGTCCAATAATATGTCTCCAAACACAGCTAAAATATAAACATATACCAGTCCAATAATATGTCTCCAAACACAGCTGAAATATAAACATATACCAGTCCAATAATATGTCTCCAAACACAGCTGAAATATAAACATATACCAGTCCAATAATATGTCTTTAAATACAGCTGAAATATAAACATATACCAGTCCAATAATATGTCTCCAATCACAGCTGAAATATAAACATATACCATCCAATAATATGTCTCTAAACACAGCTGAAATATAAACATATACCAGTCCAATAACATGTCTCTTAACACAGCTGAAATATAAACATATACCAGTCCAATAATATGTCTCTAAACACAGCTGAAATATAAACATATACCAGTCCAATAATATGTCTCCATACACAGCTGAAATATAAACATATACCAGTCCAATAATATGTTTCTAAACACAGCTGAAATATAAACATATACCAGTCCAATAATATGTCTCCAAACACAGCTGAAATATAAACATATACCGGTCCAATAATATGTCTCCAAACACAGCTGAAATATAAAGAGGTACAATGTAGAAAATTGCAGATATTACTAAGCTGAAAAATAATCATGAACATCTAAATAAATTAAAATATACATCAAAACACAGCTGAAATATCAAATTTAAAGATGGATTTAAAGACGGACAGATGTATAAAACTGATAAAAACCTGATAAGATACCATACAACAGACCATTTAAAATACTCTTCAAATGAATATTGACATTTCCATAATGGTACTGGTAAAATGAGGTCAAGAGTAAATCAAACAAAGGTGTTAGTGTATATCAGTAAGATTGTCAAAACATTCACAAGCATGAAAATGTTTCTTTTTTGAAGAGTTCTTACCTTAATATTGACTGTGATGACACATGTTGTATAGACCATCACACCAAGCATCCAGTTACCAGCCATCTGAAAAGAAAGTCATTATATGTCTTAACCAGAACAACGGCAACGCCAAAGCGTAGCGAATCCCATCGAACATTTTTCAAAAGGGGCACCTTCTACCAAAAGTGTCATTAGACAGTGTGCCATGCTTATAATATTCACATACCAAATATGAACAAAATCGCTCTACTACTTTTCGAGTTATAGTAAAATATGTTAAAATGGTGGCCATTTTGAAAAATGGCCGCCTTCTACCAAAAGTCTCATTAGACAGTGTGCCATGCTTATAGTATTCACATACCAAATATGAACAAAATCGCTCCACTACAAAATCACTCCACTACGCTCTACCAAAAGTGTCATTAGACAGTGTGCCATGCTTATACGTATTCACGTACCAAATATGAACAAAATCGCTCAACTACTTTTCGAGTTATAGTAAAATAAGTTAAAATGGCAGCCATTTTTCAAAATGTCCGCCATTTTTCAAAATGGCCGCCTTCTACCAAAAGTGTCATTAGACAGTGTGCCATGCTTACAGTATTCACATACCAAATATGAACAAAATCGCTCCACTACTTTTCGAGTTATAGTAAAATACGTTAAAATGGCGGCCATTTTGAAAAATGACCGCCCTCTACCAAAAGTGTCATTAGACAGTGTGCCATTCTTATACGTATTCACGTACCAAATATGAACAAAATCGCTCCACTACTTTTCGAGTTTTAGTAAAATAAGTTAAAATGGCGGCCATTTTTCAAAATGTCCGCCATTTTTCAAAATGGCCGCCTTCTACCAAAAGTGTCATTAGACAGTGTACCATGCTTATAGTATTCACATACCAAATATGAACAATATCGCTCCACTACTTTTCAAGTTACAGCAAAAATCGTAAAATAACGAGTAAAGGCCGCCATTTTTCAAGATGGCTGCCATGTGCTTTTTTAATATCTAAATTTCTAGCTTTATTAATGTCCTATATAGTTTTTTTTACATTTAAAACATATTGCTATTACAGTTTTACATATTGCACCTAAATTACTGTAAAATCGGCACTAAAATGGCCGCCATTTTTAAATGAGCGGCCATTTTGAAAATCGGCTTTCGAGCAGAACTTCTACCCCCATAGGGTATATGTGTACAAAATATGAATAAAATCTGGCCAACGGTATTTGAGTTATTGCCCGGACGGACGGACGGACGTACGTACGGACGGACGTCCGTACGTACGGATGGACGTACGGACGGACGGACGGACGGACGGAGGCGTTCCCTATATCCCTCCGAACTTCGTTCGATGGGATAATAAGGTAATAAACTTGCACTCAATATCCATATATGGTATTAAGTCATCACACTGGGCATCCAGTAACTGGCCATCTAAAGTTGAATATTCTTTAAATAAGTTTATCTCGATATTGATATGTGGTAACATAAGTCTTATCTTCCATTGAAATAATTTTTCTTCAAAAATCTTTTAACATTCTTGGTTGTCTACAAAGTATGACAACATAAATCTCACAAATATAACCCTTATTTCTTTATTTTACCATAACACGTCAGAATCAGAGTCAGAGTTCAATTTTTGTGAACTTACTGTGCTGTCTGAATGTATTGGAGTAAATTGAAACATCAGTAGACTTCCAAAGAAAAACACTGCAGAGTGCCAGTATCCTACAAGGAAATGATAAGTTAATTAATAATAATAATGATTAATACGTTGTGTGGTGGTCATTAACAGAAAAGTAGTTAAGAATTCAACAGAGTCACTTTCTCTTACTATGATGTGATTTCTCTTACTATGATGTCATTTCTCTTACTATGATGTCATCTCTCTCACAATGATGTTATACCTATGGTGACAATTGATTTGAGAATTCTTCACTTTAGTTAATTTCTGTTAGTAAGGTACAAGATTACAATTTAGCACTAGCATTGATCATGTCAATGTCAAAAATCATAATAAACAATAGTATGTATTTTTGTGTATATTAATTTTTTGATGTACATTAAGATGACCTTCACTCAATAGTAATAAGATAAAAAGACGATTGGGTCCCTCATTTGTATGATATGATTAATGATAATGACAATGGTTAAAGGCAATAAAATCTCTTGAGAAAAAAAGATAAAAAGACAATGAATCATCATTACTGCAGTGTTAGGTGATTTTAATTTCTTTTGATTTTTATTCTAAATTGATCAATTTGGGTTCAAGTACAGGGAAACTTCATAATTTTCAGACCATATACATATCTAGAATATTGTACTTGATAAATTGGCCATATAATACATACCTAGAATATTGTACTTAATAAATTGGCCATATAATACATACCTAGAATATTGTACTTAATAAATTGGCCATATAATACATACCTAGAATATTGTACTTAATAAATTGGCCATATAATACATACCTAGAATATTGTACTTGATAAATTGGCCATATGAAAGACGTGCATTTTTTGATATATCCCTGCAAAAGAATAGAATATAATGTTAATGTTAACAACAGGTATAAGTACAGAATGTACATTCATATAACATTTGCATCTTCATTTTAACCTTAAACCATAAAAAGAGATTTCACAAATGGGGCTAAACTTATATCTTACTTGTAAAGACTTGGATGTTGCAGTAGAACATCTTGTGGTATGTTCTGCTCAAACAACCCATATATAAGAATAGGAAGTGAAGGGTAATGTCTTAAATCTTACTTGTAAAGACTTGGATGTTGCAGTAGAACATCTTGTGGTATGTTCTGCTCAAACAACCCATATATAAGGATAGGAAGTGAAGGGTAATGTCTTATATCTTACTTGTAAAGACTTGGATGTTGCAGTAGAACATCTTGTGGTATGTTCTGCTCAAACAACCCATATAAAAGAATAGGAAGTGAAGGGTAATGTCTTAAATCTTACTTGTAAAGACTTGGATGTTGCAGTAGAACATCTTGTGGTATGTTCTGCTCAAACAACCCATATATAAGAATAGGAAGTGAAGGGTAATGTCTTAAATCTTACTTGTAAAGACTTGGATGTTGCAGTAGAACATCTTGTGGTATGTTCTGCTCAAACAACCCATATATAAGAATAGGAAGTGAAGGGTAATGTCTTAAATCTTACTTGTAAAGACTTGGATGTTGCAGTAGAACATCTTGTGGTATGTTCTGCTCAAACAACCCATATATAAGAATAGGAAGTGAAGGGTAATGTCTTATATCTTACTTGTAAAGACTTGGATGTTGCAGTAGAACATCTTGTGGTATGTTCTGCTCAAACAACCCATATATAAGAATAGGAAGTGAAGGGTAATGTCTTAAATCTTACTTGTAAAGACTTGGATGTTGCAGTAGAACATCTTGTGGTATGTTCTGCTCAAACAACCCATATATAAGAATAGGAAGTGAAGGGTAATGTCTTATATCTTACTTGTAAAGACTTGGATGTTGCAGTAGAACATCTTGTGGTATGTTCTGCTCAAACAACCCATATATAAGAATAGGAAGTGAAGGGTAATGTCTTATATCTTACTTGTAAAGACTTGGATGTTGCAGTAGAACATCTTGTGGTATGTTCTGCTCAAACAACCCATATATAAGAATAGGAAGTGAAGGGTAATGTCTTATATCTTACTTGTAAAGGCTTGGATGTTGCAGTAGAACATCTTGTGGTATGTTCTGCTCAAACAACCCATATATAAGAATAGGAAGCGAAGTGAACGCCAAGTTAAAGAACATCAAGAAGTAGCTGTCAAACAAAGACTGAAACAAACAAAATGAAACATATACAAGTTTTATAGCAGACATTCATTAGCATGGATTCAAGCATAAGCTAGATACTCTCTTTATCAAATAAAATGAATGGCTTTTTGTAAGAAACTGCAGTGCACTGCTCCTGGATTTATATTCAGTTTATTATGTCAGATCATTGTTTGGGAAGAGTTGTACTATATGTTTTTTAATACTTTTTGGTCTCTCGTTTAGGTACTTCCATTTAGTTTTACTGATATGAATAAGTATGAAAAATGAAAATATTGTATCCTACCTGGGCGGAAAAAGCAGAGAAGAATGCATAGTAAAACTGAGCTGTGATAAAGGCAATGTTCTGAAAGTATAAAGTACAATCATATAATATTAAAAGATAAATGAAAATAAAACAATACAAAATAAATCACATATGTTTACATTAATATGGGAATCTATTGCCAACCACAAAATAAATAGATGATGTTATAATGTATTCAGAAATGTTGTACAATTAAAAATAGTTATGACAAATGGCTGTAAAGATGTAGTTATTAACTTATTGGTGTAATTCTTTAGATGATGTCAATCAATATATCACTGCGTCAAGGCAACAAACTAGATATAGTTAAAATGCTACTATTATAAAAATCTGAATTTATCATGAAAAACTTAAATGAAATAAAAAAAATATATTAACTCATTCGCTACGAATGACGTGATATGACGTCATAAAGCACATACGTTGACTACGGTAAAATGGGACTTAAAAACCTATTGATTCTGAAAAAGTATATTGTATGCTTTAAAATGATATATAACACTATATATGTATGCCAATGTATATGCTTTATATATTATTTCAGAGGTACCATATATGGCAACTTTCAAAAATTCATCAGTATTACAGTGCTTTTTGCCCCAGGATTGAATGAGTTAGTCACGAATGTTTCTTAACTTTACCTTGTAGAAAAAGTACTGCACGAGGTAGGCTATTCTAACGTAATAGTAATGTCCATGGACTAGTAGTGCCCTCTGTAGGCATTGGAACTTTGGGAAGGCATAATCACTGCACCTCACAGCCTGGCGACCTTCTTTGCCCATTATGCCTGCAAAAATACAGGATATTAGATTTTACATGTCATATTTTGAAAAGGAGCACGTAAGTTATCGCAAACAATTTCAAACGATTCTAACTTGAATTATGAATACTTTCTGATCATGAACATGGGTGTATTTTTTAGATCCATTCATTATCTTCAAGAAAAGTATATATAATGATAATTTAGTTAATCAGACCTAAGTGATATTGAAGGGGCAATGGACCAATCAACATACTTTTTCAAAAATGTTGACCTAATTTTCACCAAAAATGCAACCTATTATCATATTGTTGAATGCATAATTAGAATGTGCTTTGAGACATGTTCGATTTCCTAAAAGGAAAATTTGATTGCTCCAGGGACTTTAAAGATATTCAATTTGGATGACCAAAATGAACTGAAACCAATGGATAGCATGAGATTTTTCAATGGAGAAATAACATGGGGAACACTTATCTTAATGCAATTAAGTTTTTCTTTCAAGAACTATTTGATACAATCAAAATTAAGAATAGTAATGCATTAAACATTGTGAAAAATGATTGCATTTTTGGTGAAAATGGGGTCAACATCTTCAAAATGGGGTCAAAAAGTGTGTTGATGGGTTAATTGCTTGTTAAATATCTCCGAGTTTGCTTGAAATTATTATTACTGTGCATAATTTTCTTTGAGATAATGAATTGATCTAAAAGATAAACTTGTCTTCATTGTCAGAAAATAGTCATAATCCAAGATATAACCTTCTGAAATTGTTTGCGATAACCCACGTGCTCCTTTCAAAAAGCTACTTTGAATTTGCTATGCAGAACAAACTAAATTTGACGAACCTAAGTTTGATCATGGCTTCATCTCGATAATGTAATTGAGAACTTATTAATAAATAACTTCAGTGGGTAACTTGGTAGAGAATTACAAATGTGATAAAGAATTAATTGAATTATTATAATAAACCTCTCTGCAATAAACATAACATGACCTAATTCTTGTTTGGGCATGGTAGAACTATTTAATCTAAAAACTGTTTACAAGTAAACAAAGCTAGTTTCTACTCTTTTCAAAAAAAATCTAGTTTACCTAGTCCAACATGAGCTTCTTGTATCATAGATACATCATTAGCCCCATCCCCTATAGCTGCAGTTACTGGACTAGCTGAAGACTTCTTAATCAATCTGACAACCTGAAATCATAGACACTTCATTAGCCCCATTTGCCATTGATTATTAAGACATCAGTTGTTCTTTAACTGAAGCAAATTCAATATGCAGTATCTTTTACAACATAAAATTACAACTTCATTGTTAGGTGCTTTAATTTCTGCTGTAAATAATGATGTAAAAATATGAAAACACAAACCTCGGCTTTCTGTAATGGGGACATCCTACAGCAAAGCACAGTACTACATGCCTGACAAACATCCCTAAAGATGGCACTGTGATCAGAGAGAGCATACGTCAAGCTTGCCCCGTCAACTATCAACGCATGTTTTATCTCATTGTTGTTGCAGTTCCTACTTTGTAAACTAGAAATAAACACAATGAATGGGTTAAAACATCAATGAACAATGACAGCCTGCTATCTATATGAATCATGAAGAGAAATAAACACAATGAATGGGTTAAAACATCAATGAACAATGACAGCCTGCTATCTATATGAATCATGAAGAGAAATAAACACAATGAATGGGTTAAAACATCAATGAACAATGACAGCCTGCTATCTATATGAATCATGAAGAGAAATAAACACAATGAATGGGTTAAAACATCAATCAACAATGACAGCCTGCCATCTATATGAGTCGTGAAGAGTATATCTAGTTCAATGTTTCTCATAAAAAGAATCTCAAAGAGGCAAAAAATGGAAGAACATCAGTCTAAATGATGTTGCATATATCTTCAAAACATTTTGTAAAATCAACCAGCAATTTCCATCTGTTGTCTTCTGATATTCGATGACACCTTTGAGAGTAAATTGCAGAAGATATAAATGTTCAGTGACACTAAATGTAATTTCAACTTATGTTTCCCTAACCCTACTATCACACCAAACTAGTTCTCACTACGTTCTCAAAAACGGGCTTCAACTGTGTATGAACGGACTGGACCTACTAAGAACCGTTTGGGATCTATTAACAAACTTCATCGAACGTACTCGAACGGGTAGGTCCTCTAGAACTTAGACAATGCTCAAAATGTTCTCGTGGTCGTCACGTTCTACAATTAGAACGAGTGACAACGTACTAACGACGAGCTGGACGTACTACGAACGGAACCGTCGTACTTCAATCCTACTAGGGACATTTTAACAACGAGTTGAATTGTCTGAGGACGTGTTGAGAACGATGTAGAACTAATTGCAAACGGGTTTAAACTGATTGAGAACGTATTTAACACTGCTTATGAATGAGTTAGCAAAAATATAGCTATCACACCAAACAAGTTGCCACTGCGTTCTTCAAAACTGTGTGCGAACGGAATGAACGTAGCTGCCACTTTCTAAGGTCTATTTACGAACTTTATGATCGTTCTCAGACGGGAATGTGATTTTAGAATTTTGAATGGATTCAAAATTCGATGGCGACCATAACGTTCTGTAATCAGGTCATGTTGACCTTCTAGACTAAGGGACGCGTTCTACTACGTTGCACACCGACGTGGTGCGACCTGAACGAACTGCGAACGAGAAGGACGTATTGAAGACTGTTTAAGAACGAAGAAGCTAATTATTTCAGACATATTTCCCGACCACAGCCAGATTGAGCCCGTTTTACGACGTTTTCGTAGGACTGGCAAGAACGGGTAAGAACGAGTTTGGTGTGATAGGGGGGTTATGTTCCTATTCCAACACATCTTCGAGGATGTCTGTATTGTTATAGGTAGTTCTTTAATCTTAACTTACGTTTTCCTATGTTGTGCTATAGTATTCCCACACATCTCTGAGGATGTCTGTCTAGTTATAGGTAGTTCTATGATTTTAACTTACGTTTTCCTATGTTGTGCTATAGTATTCCCACACATCTCTGAGGATGTCTGTCTAGTTATAGATAGTTCTATGATTTTAACTTACATTTTCCTATGTTGTGCTATAGCATTCCCACACATCTCTGAGGATGTCTGTCTAGTTATAGGTAGTTCTATGATTTTAACTTACGTTTTCCTATGTTGTGCTATAGTATTCCCACACATCTCTGAGGATGTCTGTCTAGTTATAGATAGTTCTATGATTTTAACTTACATTTTCCTATGTTGTGCTATAGTATTCCCACACATCTCTGAGGATGTCTGTCTAGTTATAGGTAGTTCTATGATTTTAAACTTACGTTTTCCTATGTTGTGCTATAGTATTCCCACACATCTCTGAGGATGTCTGTCTAGTTATAGGTAGTTCTATGATTTTAACTTACGTTTTCCTATGTTGTGCTATAGTATTCCCACACATCTCTGAGGATGTCTGTAATGTTATAGGCCATTCTATAATTTAAACTTACGTTTTCCTATGTTGTGCTATAGTATTCCCACACATCTCTGAGGATGTCTGTATTGTTATCGGTAGTTCTATGATTTTAACTTACGTTTTCCTATGTTGTGCTATAGTATTCCCACACCTCTTTGAGGATGTCTGTATTGTTATAGGTAGTTCTATAATTTTAACTTACGTTTTCCTATGTTGTGCTATAGTATTCCCACACCTCTTTGAGGATCTCTGTATTGTTATAGGTAGTTCTATAATTTTAACTTACGTTTTCCTATGTTGTGCTATAGTATTCCCACACATCTCTGAGGATGTCTGTCTAGTTATAGATAGTTCTATGATTTTAACTTACATTTTCCTATGTTGTGCTATAGTATTCCCACACATCTCTGAGGATGTCTGTATTGTTATCGGTAGTTCTATAATTTTAACTTACGTTTTCCTATGTTGTGCTATAGTATTCCCACACATCTCTGAGGATGTCTGTATTGTTATCGGTAGTTCTATAATTTTAACTTACGTTTTCCTATGTTGTGCTATAGTATTCCCACACATCTCTGAGGATGTCTGTAATGTTATAGGCCATTCTATAATTTAAACTTACGTTTTCCTATGTTGTGCTATAGTATTCCCACACCTCTTTGAGGATCTCTGTATTGTTATAGGTAGTTCTATTATTTTAAACTTACGTTTTCCTATGTTGTGCTATAGTATTCCCACACATCTCTGAGGATGTCTGTCTTGTTATAGGTAGTTCTACAACCCCCTGGAAGAAGTGACCTGCTGAGTAGCTTATGTTTACTGCAGTTTCTTCTTTGTCCCCAGTCAACACCCATATCTAGAAACATAAATAGCAAACACATTAATCTTAGGGAAATAAGAAATGATGCACATTGAAAAATTAAACTGAAAAGTAAGAATCTTTCAAACGAAGTATCATAAGTGACCTTTTTACCACATCTTTTAAAAGAAGTATCACCAGTGACCTCTTCAATTCCCTAGGAATTTTTAAAATGAAGTATCACAAGAGACCTCCTAACAACGTCAATTTCCTAAGAATCTTTCAAATCAAGTGTCACCAGTGACCTTTTTACTTCATCAATTTCCTAGGAATTTTTAATGAAGTACCACAAGTGACCTTTTTACCATATTAATTTCCTAGGAATCTTTGAAATGAAGTATCACCAGTGACCTTTTTACTTCATCAATTACCTAGGAATTTTTAAATGAAGTACCACAAGTGACCTTTTTACCATATTAATTTCCTAGGAATCTTTAAAATGAAATATCATCAGTTACCTTTTTACTTCATCAATTTCCTAGGAATCTTTAAAATGAGGTATCACCAGAGACCTTTTTACCACATCAATTTTCAATTAAAAGTGACATTTTAATTGATCAATTTCCTAGGAATGTTTTGAATGTTTTGCAAAAATAGATGTTTTACAAAAATGTTCTTACAATGACATTTGCAGATATTTGAGAGAATATTTTGCATATAGAATTCTTAAGGTTAGCAATATTAATTTATAAAAACTACCATGGAAAGTATGACTGGTACAACAACATGAACTTGATATTAAGAAACCTTGAATAAAAAAAACTACCGAGAGAATATCAAAGGCATAAAGTGACCTTTTACCATTAACATTTTTAAGATTGGTAAAGAAAAAACAGCTTAAGTGCATAAAAATCAATAGCCCTATTTGAACAAACACTTTATGCACATATCACAATATCAGGTAAGCCTGCACTTTATTGATCCAGTCAAAACAAATTCAATGGTTGCTGCTAACTGTGCCCCAATATTTACACTTCATGATTCATCATTTTAAAAGGGAGTCAATAAGCAACTAATGTATTGCGACATTTACAAGAAGACAGAGGACCTGGTGCAGCTCAAACATCCAAGGGGAAATCATATAGACAGGTAATAGATCAGTCCAATTATGGAATTATATCTATAAACATATATATATAAGGGAGTTAATATATTAAAGGGTAGTATAAATATAATATGTTGTAGGTAATATATATATATATAGATTTAGTAGGTAACAGAGGTTCATGAAGGACTGATGATATATCATTCTGAGTGAAAATATATATTATAAATTGCGTAGTTATACTCGTATATATAGGTATTAGTATTATAGGTATTATATATAATTTGACATATTGTTAATATATAAATAAATTTGGTAGCTAATATATAAAGCTTCATAAATTACTAGTGATATATCATTCTGAATGTTTGGCAAAATGACAAACAACAAAATAAGGGGCTTCTACATAATGAATTTGAAGTTGAGTTTATTTTGCTGCTTATTAGATGAAATATTAAACCCGTATACTGGTGATATGTTCAAATTAAGGTGTAATATGGAACAATGTTGTATATTTTAAACATATATGACTTAAATAAAGTAATAATGAGGTAATACTGAAGAAAATGAATCATTTACTAAATATAAATTAACCCTTTAACTTAACTCACATTGCATTTCCTGAAGTTTTTAACAATGAAAAAACTGCAGTACTTTTGGCTTGTCAATATTTGCATCAGAGAGCCAAAGCGTACTTCATGTTTATATAGTAACATAATAGTAATACATCATCCTGACATTATGCACTGAGCATTAGTTGAGATGCTGGTAACAAATTTGATGATAACTTTGTTCTAATGCCTTTCTGGTTTTCCCCAGTACAGTAATCTTTTTACATGTCGAAATAATGTTTTGTTTGGTTAAAAAAATCCAGATTTATTCTCATATTGTACAAATAATTCTGTATTTATTTACAGAAGTTTCGTCTTCACATCTACAGGTGAGGCATAAACTGAATCATGGAGAACCAAAGTTACGCTAATCAGAAGAAAAATGCTGAAAAACCAGTTGGTCAGTCACCAAGTGGCCCAACAATGACACGTGCAGTACTTCCACCAATAAACATCACACCTGGATTGCATGGGACACAGCAATCAATGAATCAAGCATCAATACCCCAGCAGCCAGCATATCCAACACAACCCCAAATGGGATATGTACCACCAAGAGCTGCATACACAGTGCCACCTACTGTTGCCCAACCATATGACCCAAATCCCGATTACAGCAATGGTCCTAGGCCAGCATGGGCCCACAATTGCGCATTGGTACTCAGCACTCTCCTCATCATTTCTGGTATGATCATGTTCATCATGAACATCGTTGGTTTGGTGGTGGGTGTCAAATTTGCCGTAGGTGGAGCAGGAATATGGGGAGGCCTATTCATGATACTCACTGGAGGAATTGGGGTATGCGCATCAAAAACAAAAACAACCTGCAAAATTGTTAGCCTGATGGTCCTTGCTATTCTACTTGCAGTGTTTAGTTTCTGTATATTTGGCGCTCATGTTTCCGGCACCATAGTGGCATCTATAGGTAACTGGGATTACATGGATAAAGAATATCCATATCACTATGACGACTTCGATGATTACATGCCATCACCATCACGCGAATATATATATGATTATAACTGTACACATCCTTATGAGACTGTAAATGGTGTATACTGTGATGGGTTTACAGCATACAGAGAGGTGTATCCTGAGACTGCTAAGACCAGTCCAATTAGAAAATATGTGGATGATGCCAAACCAGCTGGACAAGGTATAAGGATCGCTTTCAATGCAACTATGACAATATTTGCTCTTATAGTATTTGTAGCATGTATCGTGGCATCTGCGTTATCCTGCCGTGCAGTGTGCTGCCGATCTCGGTCAAACGTGATTCAAGTTGTGTATGTTCCTGCTACAGGCTCCTGTCAGATGAATCCTATCTCACAGGGAAACAACCTCCAGGTTTGCTTCTTTTCTAATCTGTTCCCTATTCTTAAGTCTCTTTTGGCTACTGTATTTATTAGTTTCATACATAACAAATCAGTTGTAAAAAGTAGTAATCTTCAGAGAGTTAAAACAATTATCAGAATAAAAGAATAATAATACATGTATTTAAATGAATTATCGTACATTTTCATTGTTTTGTTCTTTAACCAACAGGTTGTCTCTGTTGCTCCACATGGCCAGCTTCAACCCCAGTATGTTCAGAACCAAGGAATGGTACAATCGCAGAACATGGCATTCTCTCCGCAGAATGCAGCCATTGATTACAACCAGGTTAAGCCAAATGAAACAGGTGGACAGGCTAGGAATGCAACTGGAGGGGATAGTCCTCCACCTGCTTATGAGCCTTATGGGAGAAATGAAATAACTGCTGTTGAGGACTAATAGATTCTCATTTCAAGATTTCACTATACAATAAAACCTGTACATTTGAACACTTCCTTCATCTGGACACCTCTCAATATGAACACTTTGAGGACAAACAGATTCTCATTTCACTATACAATAAAAAGCCTGTATATCTGAACACTTGCTTCATCTGAACACCTCTCAATATGAACACTTTTAGGACAAACAGCAAAACAGGTATATCTGAACACTCTTCTTATCTATACACCTCTCTATGTGAACACTTTTTGGTCCCATTTTTTAATCTGCCATAGACTACTGTATTTAAAAACTTTAAATATGAACACCTGCTAATCTGAACACTTTTGGCTGCTCCTTAGTGGCATTCTGATTAGACAGGATTCACTTACAGTTGTACATAACAACAACCAAAGAATGAGGACACTAGTACAATTGAACATGGAATGGAATGGACGGACAGAAAACTGTGAATACTGAGATTATAACGTCTCGCGTAAATAAATGCTTATTCAAATAACAGATGTAGACCATCAGCTGATACGAAAGATATTGCAAAAAGTGAATAACCAACTGATGAAATACTGAGGTTAATACTAACAGTGATTATATGCTAGATCATGCAAATCTCTGATCAGCTTTGATTAAAGATAATTTTTATACTTATAGAGATTATTTATTAGATCTTGTAGCTTACATATATTTTACATCAGTTAATGGTGGCCTAAAACCCAGTTTATTTTTTTTCGTGAAGCCACTCAGTAAAATTACGATTTCTCTGCACCCTGATGTCCAATCAAGATCATTTGAGTATCTATGTGCAATTTACTAAGTGGCTTCACGGAAAAGTAAACAGGGTTATAAGCCACGTTAATCAAACAAAAACTGTAAATATCAATGGTAAAACTTTTAACTTAAATTATGGCAAATGCTTATGTAGATAACTAGATATATATAGTCTATCAAACACCAAAGTGGGATGGACTATCAATTATTGTATAATACTTTAGTAAGTATAATGTAAAAAGTGTGAGACTTTAATAAATATTTTACTAACAATGTAACTCTGTTGATCAGAAAAGAAAAATAGCTTGGCATCATACTCAAGATTTTAACCAAGATTTTTAAAAATTACTCAATATAATTTATAAATGTATAGTATGTTCTGTGTGTTTCATTTGGAACCCTGTATGTTTACATAGTACATGTATTCTTGAAGCTTTAAAGTTCATAAAATATAAATTTGTGTATTTTGTATATAATTTCATTGTTTTGTTATAGATAATTACTGATTGGTGCACATGGGATAGAACTTTAAAGGCAGCCTCTTGATTTTGTGAGATTCCAAGTCAATTTAAGGTGTTACAAGTTATAACCAGGGCATAATAAAGCTTGTAGAAAATTAAAAGCAAAACTGTGAGAAGCAAATTTGCCATTTCATGGTATTACAACCAAATTCAGGGTGAGATTAAAAAAACAGAACCCACAATCTTTTTGGGTCAACCTGAATAATCTAAATCAGATCATGGACACCTTCTATCAATTTATTATTATCACAACTTTTTGTAGTTAAATCAAGTTACCTTAATCCCTGCTGTCCTTAAAGCAGCTATAGTCTCAGGGACACCTGCCTGTAGTCTGTCTTCCACTGCTGTAGCACCAAGTAAGGTAAGATTCTGTTCTATTGCACTGAAAGCCTCCACCAGCTGAAATATACATGATGGGTCATAAAAATGGGACAATTTGCAACATAGAAATATCATATAGATAAACTGTGTGCCTGTAGTCTGTCTTCCACTGCTGTAGCAACAAGTAAGGTAAGATTCTGTTCTATAGAACTGAAAGCCTCAACCAGCTGAAATATACAGGGTGGGTCATAAAATGGGACAATTTGCAACATTCTTAAAATATCATATAGATGAACTGTGTGCCTGTAGTCTGTCTTCCACTGCTGTAGCACCAAGTAAGGTAAGATTCTGTTCTATTGCACTGAAAGCCTCCACCAGCTGAAATATACATGATGGGTCATAAAAATGGGACAATTTGCAACATAGAAATATCATATAGATAAACTGTGTGCCTGTAGTCTGTCTTCCACTGCTGTAGCACCAAGTAATGTAAGATTCTGTTCTATTGCACTGAAAGCCTCCACCAGCTGAAATATACAGGATGGGTCATAAAATGGGACAATTTGCAACATTCTTCAAAATATCATACAGATGAACCCCATTGGCAGCATAATGTACCAAAAAATAAAAGGAATTTTGGCCGATCATGTATACATGTATTATATGAAGAAAATATGATAATCTAAAATCCAAGAGTTTTTTCTGACAGTTGAGCCTTTAAATTATACTAAAGTAATTTTGTACACATGTATAAAGGAAGAATGACAAGAGGGAAATGCTACAATATAACCGCATAATGGAGCATGTGGCTCATAGCAAAATGGAAGTTACCTTTTCTTCTCTGTGTTCTAAAGATTTCCTAGAGTCTTGGAGTATTTTATCATAATATCTAAATTCTTCTACTGTAAATCGTCTTATGCCAATCACCAATGTACGGAGTCCCAACTGAAAACAAGGTACATTATCATATGCAGAAATTTGATTACTTATAACATTAAGTAGTAATATGTAGAAAAATCTGATCAGGAGTTTTCATGCGAATGCAGTGTCAAAAACAGTTTTTACAGTTTCCGGGCAAAACTGGATTTATTTGTTAATTATCAAAATATTTTGACAAATGAGTTTGCGAGCTTACTACCTACTGAAACTAAGTTTGACATCATTAATCTCGCCAATTTCTGGGTTCACAAAAAGGGCACAGGGTTATTGGAAATGTAAATTTATCACTTAATCTGTAAAATCAAGATGTACTTACAACAGCATAGTCATTAACATGCCTGAGTATTGTGTCTTTATCACCCCCAGTTGCCCTGGGCAACATAGTGGCCTCAGCACCTTTGCACAATAGATACACGTCACCTAAAATGTAGAAGTTGACTAGAAAATGGCAGTTATATGGAAAAATTATTTATGGATGAAACAAAATAGTTTGGTTATTCAAAATTCTTTAGAGTTTATTGTGAGAAAATTTTGAGTTGAATCATTTATAACTTAATAAAAAGGTACTGGAAAAGGATTAGTGACGTGTTATATCCAGGCTACTTAACTTTATATTTGAAAATGTCTTAGGAATATTAAAACAGTCAGAAAAAACATAAATATAAACATCTTAAAGCGGGACATGGGATATAAATAGGAGGCAGACTAATGGAACAGCCAGAATAGCTGAATTTTTGATATTTTCACAAAGCTAGTCAATTTTCTCAAATTTCATTGTTGAGACCCTCCTACTTATACAGTTAACAGAAAGAACAGAACATAACTACACCTCATTTGGCCCCATATGTTCTTGAAATAACTTGTGAATAGTGAATAAATCCAAAAGAAAATTGAATACATGTGAATAAAATATATACCGTATACAATTCTCATAGCGTCTCATTTCACCATTAAATGACACTTCTATATACTTAATATATACTGTATATATAATTCATTCCACCTACCACTTTGGTCCCTAATGATGACACTCATTCTCTTTCTATTGGCATCAAACTCCAGGATGTGTAGAGGCTCATAGCGTCTCATTTCACCATTAAATGACACTTCTATATAGTCATCTTTCATGCCATGGAGCACAACTCCATACCTAATATGGGCAAAAAGTGTTATCATTAAATGACACTTCTATATAGTCATCTTTCATGCCATGTAGCACAACTTCATACCTAATATGGGCAAAAAGTGTTATCATTAAATGACACTTCTATATAGTCATCTTTCATGCCATGGAGCACAACTCCATACCTAATATGGGCAAAAAGTGTTATCATTAAATGACACTTCTATATAGTCATCTTTCATGCCATGGAGCACAACTCCATACCTAATATGGTCAAAAAATGTTATCATTAAATGACACTTCTATATAGTCATCTTTCATACCATGTAGCACAACTACAGGGTGGTCCAAAAAAATGGGACACTCGTATTTCAAAAATAAATAATGATTTTCTTTTTTTTTCTTTTTTTTGTAGTATTTATTTTATTTCAGTTTAAAACTTCTTACATTTTACATTTTAAAGCAACCTCCAAACATTCTTCCTTTCACACCATACATTCTTACCCATCCATACCCACTCATCTTTCATACATCCCAGTCAGACACATGCATACTGTAAATGTCACATAAATATAGAGGAAAAATCATGCCATAAAATAAAGCATAGAACGCTATTTAAAGTTAGAAATCATAATTATCTAATTTTGAGCCCTCGGAAAGATACGCCCTATACCCCAAGTATGATATAGGTTCTCTTCTAAAAATCTTCGTATGCACATAATACTTGTAAATTAAAATAGCAAAATTGAATTCTTTGAAAAGTAAGTTCCCAAAATATCCCACTATTACGTGCTGTTCCTTTAATTCTATACCCTTTGGCTCCCAATGCATTTTCATGTTTTTAATGAGAGGTTGTACATTTTTGCAAATCCAGAATCGGTGCTGGACAGTTTCTTCCTCCCCACAAAAGTCACACGCGCCATTTTTCCTTATCTTTACTCTTTTCAGATACAGGTTTGTCGCGTAAATATTATTAATGATTTTATACTGCAGCTCGCGAAAAAAATTGTTCTTTGTTACTCTGTAAGCCATCGAACATATGTCATTTACTGAGACATTGAATTGCGAGGCGCTTTGTTGCACACTTTTGGATAAAGTAAAATTATTTTCATTTATACACGACTGAATAAGCTTTGTGGTCAGCTGTGAAATATCGAAAATCTTACCTGCAATATGGATAGATTCCAATCTGGGCTCATAGTTTGATACACTTATCATTGTGCGGTCGCTTTTTAATAAGGAGATCCACTTCGATGGAATAGCTGATATAATTCCCATATAGTCTAGAAAGTTAATATTTATCGTGAATTTCAGATTGAAATCCCGATGGCTTAAGAATTTGCCCTCTTCGTCTAAAAGATCTCGTATTTGGACTATTTGTTTTTCAAATAGATCCTTCCTGAAAATTTGCTTACCCTCCCTTAATATGTTCTTGTTATTCCACAAAAATTCGTTCTTAACTTCAGCACTATTCCGTGGGTCATCACATTCATTGACTGAAGAATAATACCGAAGCATGTCCTTATAAAACTCCGGAATGGGATATTTGAAATACAGGACATCATAGCGACATTGCAAGATAAAATTTAAGCCTCCGAACTGTGCAAAGTAAATTGCAGGGATAACCTTCCAATGACTTTTGGATATGTCAAAGAAGCGTTTTATCCACATAATTTTTAAAGCTTTTTCCATTGAAGTCAAATTTAACATTCGAATTCCGCCATCTTTAAAATCACCAGATATGGTATTACGTTTAATCTTTTCACTGGATCCTTTCCAAAGAAAGCTATAGATCAGCCAGTTTGCTCGCGTAATAACGTGATCAGGGGTGGCCGTCATAGACATAGAGTATACCAGTTGTGAGACAGCTAAAGATTTGATTATCATCACACGACCGTAAATTGACAGATTACGCTTAAATTTAAGATCCTCTCTAAAGAGACAAGTTTAGTACCAAAGTTCGTTTCATCATTTATCTTTCGATTATAGCATATACTTACTCCCAAAAATTTACTAGGGCGCTCCACCCATTTCAACCCCTCGATTTTACTAGTGTCCCCTTTCGATGCCCCAATATAGAAACATTCAGTTTTTTCCCGATTCATTTTAAGACCTGACACCCAATAAAACTTATCAAAAATGTTAAGGGCTGCTCTTAAAGAATTTATATCATTTAGAAAAAGGGAAATATCGTCAGCGTATAGGGTTATTTTCTGTTCATGGCCATTCAGGTTAATACCTTTCACGTTTTCATCCTGCCTGATTTTCAAAGCAAGGACCTCTATACATATTATAAAAAGGGAGCAGCTCAATGGATCCCCCTGCCGGACGCCCCGGTTCAGCTTAAACCATCCTGTAGAATGACCATTGTTAGTGACGCAACTGTTAATATCTGTATAAAATAACTTCACCCACCTGATAAGTCGTTCTCCGAAGTTGAAATAACGCAAAGCATAATCAATGTAACTCCATTCCAAACTATCGTATGCTTTTTCAAAATCAATTAGCGATACTACACCAGGGATCTTTTTATCTCTCGTATATGTAAGAAGATCCTCCATAAATCTAATATTTTCACCAATCAGTCTGCCTTTTATAAAGGCAGTCTGATCCGATCCAATAATGGCTCCGAGAACCGATTCAATGCGCTTACTAACGACTTTCGACACAATTTTATAATCTATATTTAAAAGGGAGATGGGGCGCCAATTTTTTAATAGCGATATATCTTTACCCGATTTTTCTATCATGCAGATGACCCCTTGCCGTTGGCTAACCGATAAAAGCCCTGTTTCAAAAGAAAGGTTAAAACTAGTTACAACTTCGGCCGAGATATCATTCCAAAAAAGTTTAAACCATTCCGCGGTAAGGCCGTCACTACCCGGGGTTTTGTTTGTCTTAAAACTAGAAAGCACTTTAAAGCACTCACCTTCAGTGAGAGTCAATTCACAAGATTCTTTTTCCTCCGCATTCAATTTCCGTGATGTAATATTTTCCATAAAAGAATCGCGATCGTGTTGTCCTGGGGACACCTTAGAGGAGTATAGATCTTGATAGAATTGCTTTATTTCTTTTAATATACATGTATCACCTTCGACGTTCTCCTCGCCTACCTTTAATTTGGTGATATGCTTTTTCGCATGATTAGATTTTTCAATATTAAAAAACAGAGAGGAACATTTCTCTCCCTTTTCATAGTACTCTATCTTTGATCTTACCATATGACCTTCCGCTTTATACATATATATATTCTCTAATTTGGATTTTGCTTTCTGATAAGCGTTGCATACAGCCTCGATAAGAGTGTGTCCGTCAGTAGCTATCAATGATTCGAGATGTTCAATCTCTTTTATGAGTTCAATTTCAATTTTCCGATTTTCCTTACACTTACGTTTTGAAAATGCAACGGTAGTACTTTTGATTTTATATTTCATAAATTCCCACAAAGCAATTCTATCTAGCTCGCGGTGCTCGTCCCGTATATTAGTAATGAGTTGTTTTATACATGCTTTATATTCTTCATCTTGTAGAAGGCTATTGTTAAATTTCCAGAAACCTGGGCCCCTAGTCTGCTGAGTTGTAAAAATTTTTAGTTTGACCAGTTTATGGTCAGAGTGAACGCTAGGTTCTATAAAACATTCACAATTTTTTAAAATTCTACGTTCAATAAACCACATGTCGATTCTACTTTTAAACAAAGAATTCTTCAGAGCATCTTTTGCGCATGATTCATATGTGTATTGAACGGTTGCAGGATTTAACATCCTCCAAACGTCAACCATATTTAAGGATGAAAGCATATGCGCTACTACTTCGGCTGATTCTGAAGCTTTATACTTAGTGATACCGTTAGAATATCTGTCAACATTTGAATCCAGAACCATATTACAATCCCCTCCCATAATCAAATGATCCGACGAAAAGTGAGATGTTACATGTAGATGAATATTTTTAAAAAATGTTTTGTTCTCCTTACCCTCGTTAGGTGCGTACATGTTCACTAGTGTATACGTGTCATTACCAATCGCACACTTAACAATAATGTACCTACCTGACGGATCGGCATCCGAATTAATAACTGATACACACGAGTTCTTTGCTAATAATATCGCGACCCCCCGTTCATTACGTTTAGGACCATGGGCAAAATGAATATCTGACCCCCATTCCCGTTTCCAATGATCTTCGTCAATTCGGCCGGTGTGTGTCTCCTGAAGAAAAACGACATCCAGGCGTTTTCTCTTAAGGAACAAAAAAATAGACGCTCTTTTCTTATTATTCCTTAGCCCTTTAACATTAAAGGACCCAAGAGTGAAAGTGCGTTCTCTAGTCATGTGTGTCGTAAAAGACTACATTGAAAATACATACAATACAAATGAATACAGGTGAATACATGGCATGGTTTACAAGATCACAAAGATACACATTTACATACTGTCGACCCCTACAATAATAACAAGTCGGGTAAAACCTATTCAATACAAAAGGCGTGTACGCACACAATGCATTCAGGTGCGACACACTCACACTCACGAATGAGTTTATTACATAAAGCTTTTCAAAATCAAAAGGCATACAAACACAAAAGACAATCAGATACAACACACTCACGCACATAAAAGCATACATTGTCGTCAGTAAATACATGACATGGTTTATACGGTCACTTAAACATACAATCATACCCACCCATTCAAGACTCATATCGTATTTAGCCGAAGCAATACTCATTTACAAAACACAAAAAACACCGCTTCGAAACCTTGTAATGGAAGTCAGTTCTAATGTAGCGGTAAAAAACTTCACAAGGGAATTTACTTATCTTTAATTTGGTATATCATAAGTTCAAATTTATTATAATATCTGTCAACCAAAGTCCATTATATAAATGACGTCATTCTAGTTTCAAAACGGGTTTTCGAAAACTTGCAAATAACAAGTTTTTTGTCAACTTTTTTTACACAAACAGACGTTCAATATGTCCATCATTTTGATCAATTATAGCCCTCAATTTTGGCCTTAACTGGTCAAAAACATCATTGATATTCTGTTGAGACAATGGATTCCACTTCACAACAAGTCTATCCTTAATAAGGGACTGAGTAGATGTAAGGGGTTCATGATAAACCAATTCTGTTAGTTCTCCCAATACGTGGTAGTCGCAGACGTTGACATCGCATTATCCAATTATGTTGTTTTTAGACCATCCTGGTATGAGCTCATTCTCGAATCATTACATTTTCCAACAAGATGGGGCTCCAAGCAATAGATCTCACAAGAGTGTCAAATATTTAAAAGAAATGTGCCTAGATTCATCTCCCTATAATCACTGCCTCCCCCCAGATCATTAGATTAACCAACGTCTGCGACTACCACGTATGGGGAGAACTAACAGAATTGGTGAACCATGAATCCTTTACATCTATTCAGTCTCTTGAGAACAGAATTGAATTAGTGAGAAGTGTATTTCATTGTCTTTAACAGCATATCAATGATGCTATTGGCCAGTTTAGGCCAAAATTGAGGGGTACAATTGATCAAAATGGTGGACATATTGAACGTCTGTTTATGTAAATAAAGTTGACAATAAAACTTGTTTTTGCAAGTTTTGTAAAACCCGTTTTGAAATGAAAATGACATCATTTATATTATGGACGCTGGTTGACAGACATTATAATAAATTTGTACTTATGATATACCAAATTAAAGATAAGTAAATTCCCTATCCACTGGTATATAATATGACATGTTTTCATCAAGAAAATCAATATTTATTTTTGAAATACGAGTGTCCCATTTTTTTTGGACCACCCTGTACATACCTAATGGGTAAAAAGTGTTATCATTAAATTACACTTCTATATAGTCATCTTTCATGTTATGTAGCACAACTCCATACCTAATATGGGCAAAAAGTGTTATCATTAAATGACACTTCTATATAGTCATATTTCATACCATGTAGCACAACTCCATACCTAATATGGGCAAAAAGTGTTATCATTAAATGACACTTCTATATAGTCATCTTTCATGCCATGTAGCACAACTCCATACCTAATATGGGCAAAAAGTGTTATCATTAAATGACACTTCTATATAGTCATATTTCATACCATGTAGCACAACTCCATACCTAATATGGGCAAAAAGTGTTATCATTAAATGACACTTCTATATAGTCATCTTTCATGTCATGTAGCACAACTCCATACCTAATATAAAGTGTTATCATTAAATGACACTTCTATATAGTCATCTTTCATGCCATGTAGCAAAACTCCATACCTAATATGGGCAAAAAGTGTTATCATTAAATGACACTTCTATATAGTCATCTTTCATGCCATGTAGCACAACTCCATACCTAATATGGGCAAAAAGTGTTATCATTAAATGACACTTCTATATAGTCATCTTTCATGCCATGTAGCACAACTCCATACCTAATATGGGCAAAAAGTGTTATCATTAAATGACACTTCTATATAGTCATCTTTCATGCCATGTAGCACAACTCCATACCTAATATGGGCAAAAAGTGTTATCATTAAATGACACTTCTACATAGTCATCTTTAATGCCATAGAGTACAACCTAATATACCTAATATGGGCAAAAAGTGTTATCATTAAATGACACTTCTATATAGTCATCTTTCATGCCATGTAGCACAACTCCATACCTAATATGGGCAAAAAGAGTTATCAATAAATGACACTTCTATATAGTCATCTTTCACGCCATGTAGCACAACTCCATACCTAATATGGGCAGAAAGTGCAGGGCTTGCATTAACGGCGTCCCTTACATGTAAGTGACGCAAAAAAAAATTATAGGACGGAAAAATAAAAAATATTTCCGTTTTTGGGACGGAAAAAAAATTGAGTCAAACTTTGAACATTTTTTGAAAATCTTGAAAATCTCAATAGTTGATCATGTTTGACTTCTTTGAGGTGTATATTAAGATCAAAATATGTGAGATTTACAACTTTATTTTGAGTAAAAAAGAAAAAGAATGCAGAAAAACGAACTATTGTAATGGGCGATAATAGGTTATCAGTTTGCATGTGACATATTTTTCTCACTGAAAAGCTGATATAAAACCTTCAAAATGAGTTCAATTGTACAAATGATGCATACTTACCTAGGTGAAGTAGTCTATTTGTGATTATATAACGTCAAAATGGTCTAATTTATGATATAAATCAGAGGATTCTGATCATGTAGAAAATGTAGTGCTACACTAAATTACTGAGCGTCAGACAAATGCATACTAAAAAATGTTCTTATTTTTTCAAGCAGTTGTTCAGTGCAAACAGCAAGTATAAAGATAATCACAGTATAATAGTACTTACTATAACAGGCTGGAGGTTACATAACATAAGTGAATTGAATATAAAGAACATGTTTAAATCACAGGGCACGAATGGCAACATTTTGAAAACACATAAGACATGTATTAAAGATCAAGTCATGCACATTCCAAAATAGCCCATTATAGCTAATTTAGCTAATTTAGCTTATATATTGGAGGACACGCTTTTTTCTGTCGGGACTCACTTTTTAAATTTTTTTCCTTCATTGGGACTCACATTTTTCAGAGCCTAATGCAAGCGCTGAAGTGTTATCATTAAATGACACTTCTATATAGTCATCTTTCATACCATGTAGCACAACTCCATACCTAATATGGGCAAAAAGTGTTATCATTAAATGACACTTCCACATAGTCATCTTTCATACCATGTAGCACAACTCCATACCTTATATGGGCAAAAAGTGTTATCATTAAATGACACTTCAGTCATCTTTCATGCCATAGAGTACAACCTAATATACCTAATATGAGCAAAAAGTGTTACTATTTTTTCTTATCTATATCATTATTTCTTAATATGGAATTTCTTAATGCCTACTATTTTGGTGAATAACTTCACTGTTCAAATTCATGGACTACCTATGGTTCATCAAATCAGTATTCCATTTAGAAAGGTTCATTTTCCATGAGTTGTTTTCAGAGTTGTTCGACTTTACAAGTTTTACTGTAGCTAATAAGCTAATTCATCAAAATCAATAATACATTAGTCACTGACATCAAAATTTCCATATTACGATCATGATATAGTTATAATCATACATTCTCCTCCATGCCACTGTTCATGACATGGCTTATTGGAAATGTGATTTTAATATGAATATTATTGAAAGATTCGTGAAAACAACAGGATTTGTGTTAAAACAACAATACACTAATGAAGTAATAATTATGCAATTGTAATGTATTATCATGTACCTCCTGCATGCCTCTATAAAAGCTTTCTCATCTGGTGATGGAGCCTGGTATTCATATTCAAAGCCAGTTTCACTGTAGCTGCCAATGGCTGTGTTATCCTTCTTATCAACTCTGACTGTATGACATAAAGACAGCACCATCAAGAATTCTTCAATTTCAGCCTGTAATATAATACAAACAATGATATATACTGTGTGACACTATAGCTGCCAATGGCTGTGTTATCTTTCTTATCAACTCTGACTGTATGACATAAAGACAGCACCATCAGGAATTCTTCTATTTCAGCCTGTAATATAATACAATGATATACTGTGTGGCACTATAGCTGCCAATGGCTGTGTTATCTTTCTTATCAACTCTGACTGTATGACACAAAGACAGCACCATCAGGAATTCTTCTATTTCAGCCTGTAATATAATACAATGATATATACTGTGTGACACTATAGCTGCCAATGGCTGTGTTATCCTTCTTATCAATTCTGACTGTATGACACAAAGACAGCACCATCATGAATTCTTCTATTTCAGCCTGTAATATAATACAAACAATGATATATACTGTGTGACACTATAGCTGCCAATGGCTGTGTTATCTTTCTTATCAACTCTGACTGTATGACATAAAGACAGCACCATCAAGAATTCTTCCATTTCAGCCTGCAATATAATACAATGATATATACTGTGTGACACTATAGCTGCCAATGGCTGTGTTATCCTTCTTATCAATTCTGACTGTATGACATAAAGACAGCACCATCAAGAATTCTTCAATTTCAGCCTGTAATATAATACAAACAATGATATATACTGTGTGACACTATAGCTGCCAATCGCTGTGTTATCCTTCTTATCAACTCTGACTGTTTGACACAAAGACAGCACCATCAGGAATTCTTCCATTTCAGCCTGTAATATAATACAAACAATGATATATACTGTGTGACACTATAGCTGCCATTGGCTGTGTTATCTTTCTTATCAACTCTGACTGTATGACATAAAGACAGCACCATCAGGAACTCTTGTATTTCAGCCTGTAATATAATACAATGATATAAACTGTATGACACTATAGCTGCCAATGGCTGTGTTATCCTTCTTATCAACTCTGACTGTATGACATAAAGACAGCACCATCAGGAACTCTTGTATTTCAGCCTGTAATATAATACAATGATATAAACTGTATGACACTATAGCTGCCAATGGCTGTGTTATCCTTCTTATCAACTCTGACTGTATGACATAAAGACAGCACCATCAGGAACTCTTGTATTTCAGCCTGTAATATAATACAATGATATAAACTGTATGACACTATAGCTGCCAATGGCTGTGTTATCCTTCTTATCAACTCTGACTGTATGACATAAAGACAGCACCATCAGGAATTCTTCCATTTCAGCCTGTAATATAATACAATGATATAAACTGTGTGACACTATAGCTGACAATGGCTGTGTTATCCTTCTTATCAACTCTGACTGTATGACACAAAGACAGCACCATCAGGAATTCTTCTATTTCAGTCTGTAATATAATACAATGATATAAACTGTATGACACTATAGCTGCCAATGGCTGTGTTATCCTTCTTATCAACTCTGACTGTATGACACAAAGACAGCACCATCAGGAATTCTTCTATTTCAGTCTATAATACAAACAATGATATATACTGTGTGACACTATAGCTGCCAATGGCTGTGATATCTTTCTTATCAACTCTGACTGTATGACACAAAGACAGCACCATCAGGAATTCTTCTATTTCAGCCTGTAATATAATACAACAATGATATATACTGTGTGACACTATAGCTGCCAATGGCTGTGTTATCCTTCTTATCAACTCTGACTGCATGACATAAAGACAGCACCATCATGAATTCTTCTATTTCAGCCTGTAATATAATACAAACAATGATATATACTGTGTGACACTATAGCTGCCAATGGCTGTGTTATCTTTCTTATCAACTCTGACTGTATGACACAAAGACAGCACCATCAGGAATTCTTCTATTTCAGCCTGTAATATAATACAATGATATATGCTGTATGACACTATAGCTGCCAATGGCTGTGTTATCTTTCTTATCAACTCTTTCTGTATGACACAAAGACAGCACCATCAGGAATTCTTCTATTTCAGCCTGTAATATAATACAACAATGATATACTGTTTACTGTGTCACACTATAGCTGCCAATGGCTGTGTTATCTTTCTTATCAACTCTGACTGTATGACACAAAGACAGCACCATCATGAATTCTTCTATTTCAGCCTGTAATATAATACAAACAATGATATATACTGTGTGACACTATAGCTGCCAATGGCTGTGTTATCTTTCTTATCAACTCTGACTGTATGACATAAAGACAGCACCATCAAGAATTCTTCAATTTCAGCCTACAATATTTCAAACTTTGGTTATTTCCCCATGCTTGGTTATCGTCTGAGAGGTTCCCATATTGTGAAATGTTTGTATTTGCAAAGTTTGAAAGTTGACAGAATAAAACTAATATTTTTTCCAATAATATCATGGAGTGTGACCAGGGTAACTGGACAACTCATCCCTGGACAACTCATCCCCTAGACAACTCATCCCTGAACAACTCATCACCTAGACAACTATTGACCAGGATGGATACAGCTGTATGGCCACACATCAGCAAAATATACAGAAATATCCACCCCAGTCCATTCCCACAGGTTATGCACCTAAAATATCTCTATGTACGGAATACATATAACATGTTCCTTTAATCGAGAGGCAGGTTAATGATAAGATGTGACTTACTGTAAGTTGTGGAACAGGGGCTGGTTGAACATCTGGAATGTCAGGCTTAAAGCAAAGCATTCCACCAACTTCAATGTACTTCACTCTACCTATTGAGCACTGGCGGAACTGCATGTCATTTTCAGTCAAAGTTCCTGTCTTGTCTGAGAACAGGTACTCCACCTATTGAGAAAAAGCAACTGGTTTTACATCAATATAATTTTCAGTAACTAAATTTTAAGAAAGTGTATATCCAAATATTTAATAGAAATAATCCTCTGATTAACAATCCAATTAGAATTCAAATCAATTAAAGAAACCCATCTTTACAGTGAAAGATATCATGAATCTTAATTTATTTACATACCTGTCCAAGTTCCTCATTGAGATCAGAAGTGTTTGCCTTGGCTCTTTCATTTACTTCACTATCATAAAGCTCAAGATCCCAACCCAGTAACATTGAACCAAAGAACTTCATCAGCTCTGGAAAATACATGAAGTATACACTCTTCATGATTATACAGTTAAACCTATGTAGGGGAAACAATTAAAAATGTTCCACTCATGGAGATGTTCCACATCACATGTTTTACAGTATCAGTATTTTTTATAAATTGAGTTGATAACTAAAATAAAAAAAATCTTATTGTTCACCTACCTACAGTGACATACATGGAGATGTTATTGCAATGAATTATAGTGAGCTGATAACTGGAATAACAAGAACACAAATGTGTACAATATGTCCCCACCTATGGGTGATCCCGTCAAATGGTTATCCTAAAAATGAGTAGGCAAGACTTTACCGACATAATTTGAGGACGGAGAATCCAAAATGGCCACATTAAAATTTACAAAGAATGCCAAAAAAGTTAGTCAGTTCTAGATTTTCATACTAAGAACCACCCCTGAAAATTTGAAATTGATCCGTCACACAGTTAACCAGAAAACATGTAAACAAGACTTTACAGACAAGATTTGAGGACAGAAAATCCAAAATGGCTGCCTTGACATTTATCCAGAATGCCAAAAACTAATCTGTTCTAGATTTTAATACTAAGAATCATCCCTGAAAATTTGAAATTGATCTACCAAACAGTTCACCTGGAAATGTGTAGACAAGACTTAACAGACGAGATTTTAGGACAGAAAATCCAAAATGGCTGCCTTGACATTTACCCAGAATGCCCAAAAATTAATCAGTTCTAGATTTTCATACTAAGAATCATCCCTGAAAATTTGAAATTGATCTAGCAAACGTTTCACCTAAAAACGCGTAGACAAGACTTTACGGGCAAGATTTTAAGACGGAAAATCCAAAATGGCTGCCTTGACATTTATCCAGAATGCCAAAAAACTAATCAGATCTAGATTTTCATACTGAGAATCATCCCTGAAAATTTGAAATTGATCTACCAAACGGTTCACCTGAAAATGCGTAGACAAGACTTTACATACAAGATTTTAGGACGGAAAATCCAAAATGGCTGCCTTGACATTTACCCAGAATGCCCAAAAACTAATCAGATCTAGATTCTTATACTAAGAATCATCCCTGAAAATTTGAAATTGATCTACAAAACGGTTCATCTGAAAATGCGTAGACAAGACTTTACAGACAAGATTTTAGGACGGAAAAATCCAAAATGGCCGACAATAAAAAAGTGATTATGAGTTTTTGCTGAAATCTTTTTACAAAATTATCACATATAACTACTGTTAACAATAACATAGGCTTTTACAACAAAGTACACCTGAAATTATTTATAAAGCTACTAAAAAGTTTAAGTATGAAAACTGAAAAACACCATTCAATATGATACAAAGTATTATCGTGCGCTAACTTTTCTTAAAACATTCAAAATGGCTGACATGACTGAGCTAACAGGTCCAAAACCTAATCAGATCTAGAATGAAGTGAGCTGAACAAGATGTTAAAGTTTTAAAAGCAACGGTGATGCCGTTTTTCTTAAAGTTTGCAGACAAGGATTTTAGCATTTGACTTCAAAATGGCCGACAGGAAGTAGGTATCGAGTTAATTTTTTTTCATCCACATCTGTATGCACTCATAAGTTATCCCTGAAAATTTGAAGGTGATATCTGTAGCGGTTTTGGAGAAAACTGCCGGACGTACGGACGGACAGACAGACGGACAGACAGACAGACAGACAGACGGACGGACAGACGGACGCGCCTAGGCCGACAATATGGCCCCACACTATGTGGTGGGGACATAAAAAGTCTGATATATCACTTACCTACAGTTACATACATGGAGATGGGGATGATATAGTTGAGCAAAACCATGAAACTTAAGAACTCCTCAATAAATACCAGGGCCTGAAAATAACATAATGCATAAAGCATAAATAAAAATAAACACAAAGAAAATGGAACAAGACACTGAAAATAGGGGTACAGTAAAAAGGGCAAATAAGCATGTCAATAATCAATAATAATGTTTATAACGTTTAATTGATACATAAACATAGTTTAAGAAGTAAAATTTATTTTTACAGAAAACTAATATTTATATTATCAATTCAATGCTGAAATATATATATATAATGTCCAAAAACATCCTCAGTTTTCATGCAAAGTACAGCCCTGAAAATTTGAAATTGATCTACCAAACAGTTCATTTGGAAACACATAGACAAAATTAAGTGGGACAACTCTCTACTCACCCACCTGTAAGGCAAACTGATCACAACATTTATAGCACTATTGAGGGTGTGATAAAAATGTACTACTTACTGTAAGTGAGTGTTCTCCTACGACGTACCAGGGCTGACCTCCTGGCTGGGAAATGTACCAGCGCTTTAAACCAACCAACAGTCCTGATTCTATACACAAGAGCAGTAGGAATATCAGCAGAAACTTGTTCATAGACCTGCACATAAAATTCAGGATGTATACATAAATATACAAAGGTTTCATTCCATAAAAATTGATATTTAACATATGTGAATTTACTGTGTGTGTCAAGTGATTATTAACTCATCTTTAAGATCATATGACCTGTCATGTGACACATATCAGTCATGCCATGGTCAAATTTGCTCCGATTTTTCTATGGTGCCCGGCCGATTGAGTATTTTGTTCAAAATTGAATAACAAAATACTCATCGGCCGGGTGTATTCAATTTTGAACAAAATACTCATTGGCTGAAAATCAGAGCAAATGTGACCATGGCATCAATCAGTCAATTTGCAACAAAGTTTCTCTGTTCAATTGCCATTGGCTTAAGACACAACTATGAGTTTCAACCAATGTTCCAATTTTAATAATGTATGATGTTAAGTCAAGAGGACGAAATAACCCAGAATTCCAAAATGAACCTGCACACATCTTCATGTATTAATGAAGCTGGAAGTACATCTTAATATTCATCTTTGAAATCTGGGTTATCCCTCTGTTATTTAGGGAGATATCATTTTACTTACTTCTGAAGTCAAATAAACATACCTCTCAACTCTTGAAAACTTGTGAGATTTAAACTTTGAGTTCAAGGACATCTTGGTGTCTTTGCCTGTATATACTGCACAACCTTTAATAAGAATTTGTAAAAGTTAATCATTGGTGTCTTTGCCTGTATATACTGCACAACCTTTAATAAGAATTTATAAAAAGTTAATCATTGGTGTCTTTGCCTGTATATACTGCACAACCTTTAATAAGAATTTGTAAAAAGTTAATCATTGGTGTCTTTGCCTGTATATACTGCACAACCTTTAATAAGAATTTATAAAAAGTTAATCATTGGTGTCTTTGCCTGTATATACTGCACAACCTTTAATAAGAATTTATAAAAAGTTAATCATTGGTGTCTTTGCCTGTATATACTGCACAACCTTTAATAAGAATTTGTAAAAAGTTAATCATTGGTGTCTTTGCCTGTATATACTGCACAACCTTTAATAAGAATTTATAAAAGTTAATCATTGGTGTCTTTGCCTGTATATACTGCACAACCTTTAATAAGAATTTATAAAAAGTTAATCATTGGTGTCTTTGCCTGTATATACTGCACAACCTTTAATAAGAATTTATAAAAAGTTAATCATTGGTGTCTTTGCCTGTATATACTGCACAACCTTTAATAAGAATTTATAAAAAGTTAATCATTGGTGTCTTTGCCTGTATATACTGCACAACCTTTAATAAGAATTTGTAAAAAGTTAATCATTGGTGTCTTTGCCTGTATATACTGCACAACCTTTAATAAGAATTTATAAAAAGTTAATCATTGGTGTCTTTGCCTGTATATACTGCACAACCTTTAAAGAATTTGTAAAAGTTAATCATTGGTGTCTTTGCCTGTATATACTGCACAACCTTTAAAGAATTTGTAAAAAGTTAATCATTGGTGTCTTTGCCTGTATATACTGCACAACCTTTAAAGAATTTGTAAAAAGTTAATCATTGGTGTCTTTCCCTGTATAAACTGCACAACCTTTAAAGAATTTGTAAAAAGTTAATCATTGGTGTCTTTGCCTGTATATACTGCACAACCTTTAATAAGAATTTATAAAAAGTTAATCATTGGTGTCTTTGCCTGTATATACTGCACAACCTTTAATAAGAATTTATAAAAAGTTAATCATTGGTGTCTTTGCCTGTATATACTGCACAACCTTTAATAAGAATTTATAAAAAGTTAATCATTGGTGTCTTTGCCTGTATATACTGCACAACCTTTAATAAGAATTTGTAAAAAGTTAATCATTGGTGTCTTTGCCTGTATATACTGCACAACCTTTAATAATAATTTATAAAAAGTTAATCATTGGTGTCTTTGCCTGTATATACTGCACAACCTTTAATAAGAATTTGTAAAAAGTTAATCATTGGTGTCTTTGCCTGTATATACTGCACAACCTTTAATAAGAATTTGTAAAAAGTTAATCATTGGTGTCTTTGCCTGTATATACTGCACAACCTTTAATAAGAATTTGTAAAAAGTTAATCATTGGTGTCTTTGCCTGTATATACTGCACAACCTTTAATAAGAATTTATAAAAAGTTAATCATTGGTGTCTTTGCCTGTATATACTGCACAACCTTTAATAAGAATTTGTAAAAAGTTAATCATTGGTGTCTTTGCCTGTATATACTGCACAACCTTTAATAAGAATTTGTAAAAAGTTAATCATTGGTGTCTTTGCCTGTATATACTGCACAACCTTTAATAAGAATTTGTAAAAAGTTAATCATTGGTGTCTTTGCCTGTATATACTGCACAACCTTTAATAAGAATTTGTAAAAAGTTAATCATTGGTGTCTTTGCCTGTATATACTGCACAACCTTTAATAAGAATTTATAAAAAGTTAATCATTGGTGTCTTTGCCTGTATATACTGCACAACCTTTAATAAGAATTTATAAAAAGTTAATCATTGGTGTCTTTGCCTGTATATACTGCACAACCTTTAATAAGAATTTGTAAAAAGTTAATCATTGGTGTCTTTGCCTGTATATACTGCACAACCTTTAATAAGAATTTATAAAAAGTTAATCATTGGTGTCTTTGCCTGTATATACTGCACAACCTTTAATAAGAATTTATAAAAAGTTAATCATTGGTGTCTTTGCCTGTATATACTGCACAACCTTTAATAAGAATTTGTAAAAAGTTAATCATTGGTGTCTTTGCCTGTATATACTGCACAACCTTTAATAAGAATTTATAAAAAGTTAATCATTGGTGTCTTTGCCTGTATATACTGCACAACCTTTAATAAGAATTTGTAAAAAGTTAATCATTGGTGTCTTTGCCTGTATATACTGCACAACCTTTAATAAGAATTTGTAAAAAGTTAATCATTGGTGTCTTTGCCTGTATATACTGCACAACCTTTAATAAGAATTTGTAAAAAGTTAATCATTGGTGTCTTTGCCTGTATATACTGCACAACCTTTAATAAGAATTTATAAAAAGTTAATCATTGGTGTCTTTGCCTGTATATACTGCACAACCTTTAATAAGAATTTATAAAAAGTTAATCATTGGTGTCTTTGCCTGTATATACTGCACAACCTTTAATAAGAATTTATAAAAAGTTAATCATTGGTGTCTTTGCCTGTATATACTGCACAACCTTTAATAAGAATTTATAAAAAGTTAATCATTGGTGTCTTTGCCTGTATATACTGCACAACCTTTAATAAGAATTTGTAAAAAGTTCATCATTGGTGTCTTTGCCTGTATATACTGCACAACCTTTAATAAGAATTTGTAAAAAGTTCATCATTGGTGTCTTTGCCTGTATATACTGCACAACCTTTAATAAGAATTTATAAAAAGTTAATCATTGGTGTCTTTGCCTGTATATACTGCACAACCTTTAATAAGAATTTGTAAAAAGTTAATCATTGGTGTCTTTGCCTGTATATACTGCACAACCTTTAATAAGAATTTGTAAAAAGTTAATCATTGATGTCTTTGCCTGTATATACTGCACAACCTTTAATAAGAATTTTTAAATAGTTAATCATTGGTGTCTTTGCCTGTATATACTGCACAACCTTTAATAAGAATTTGTAAAAGTTAATCATTGGTGTCTTTGCCTGTATATACTGCACAACCTTTAATAAGAATTTATAAAAAGTTAATCATTTGTGTCTTTGCCTGTATATACTGCAAAACCTTTAATAAGAATTTATAAAAAGTTAATCATTGGTGTCTTTGCCTGTATATACTGCACAACCTTTAATAAGAATTTGTAAAAAGTTAATCATTGGTGTCTTTGCCTGTATATACTGCACAACCTTTAATAAGAATTTATAAAAAGTTAATCATTGGTGTCTTTGCCTGTATATACTGCACAACCTTTAATAAGAATTTATAAAAAGTTAATCATTGGTGTCTTTGCCTGTATATACTGCACAACCTTTAATAAGAATTTGTAAAAAGTTAATCATTGGTGTCTTTGCCTGTATATACTGCACAACCTTTAATAAGAATTTATAAAAAGTTAATCATTGGTGTCTTTGCCTGTATATACTGCACAACCTTTAATAAGAATTTGTAAAAAGTTAATCATTGGTGTCTTTGCCTGTATATACTGCACAACCTTTAATAAGAATTTATAAAAAGTTAATCATTGATGTCTTTGCCTGTATATACTGCACAACCTTTAATAAGAATTTTTAAATAGTTAATCATTGGTGTCTTTGCCTGTATATACTGCACAACCTTTAATAAGAATTTTTAAATAGTTAATCATTGGTGTCTTTGCCTGTATATACTGCACAACCTTTAATAAGAATTTATAAAAAGTTAATCATTGGTGTCTTTGCCTGTATATACTGCACAACCTTTAATAAGAATTTTTAAATAGTTAATCATTGGTGTCTTTGCCTGTATATACTGCACAACCTTTAATAAGAATTTATAAAAAGTTAATCATTGATGTCTTTGCCTGTATATACTGCACAACCTTTAATAAGAATTTTTAAATAGTTAATCATTGGTGTCTTTGCCTGTATATACTGCACAACCTTTAATAAGAATTTTTAAATAGTTAATCATTGGTGTCTTTACCTGTATATACTGCACAACCTTTAATAAGAATTTATAAAAAGTTAATCATTGGTGTCTTTGCCTGTATATACTGCACAACCTTTAATAAGAATTTGTAAAAAGTTAATCATTGGTGTCTTTGCCTGTATATACTGCACAACTTTTAATAAGAATTTGTAAAAGTTAATATTTTAAATAACAGTTAAATATTAAAAGTAAATCAATAGACTTTTCCAATAAACCCTGCCACCTTTTGGAATATCAAGCAAGCTATGATATATTGGCTAGAATGATGATGTCATTGGTTGTTCTTCTCAAAAATTAGCAATAAGTTAATCCTATTTTTGCTTGGACAGATTGCAACTTGTGCCTATGACATCATCAAATTAGCCAATATATCATAGCTTCTTTGATGGAACAAAGGGTGACAGGGTTTATTGGGAACATCCCTCAAGGTTCAGATAATAACTCTGCAATGACATTCATATTAAACATCATTCATTGGCTGTATTTTGAATATTAAATAGATTAAAAAATTCTGCTTCATTTTATCAAAGTCATATAGAGACCAATAAACAAACTGATTTAATTTGGGGAATCTCAATTTCATTAGTTATGAGTTTATATACAAGTAATACATGAAGGTAATTATTTGTTTGATAATATGGATTTTATTCTATGGGCCAATATGACTTAAGTGTCAATTTTGATATTTGCTGAAGTTAATGTCATATCGTCCTTCAAATAAATTCCATATTCTATTCTTAATATCAATGACCTTTTCATTCTATGAATCATATGAGATTCAATGGATGGATCCAGGATTTGGATGAACATGGGATAAATTACAGGATTTTCAAATATCAATTCTAATTTATTATGAAGGTAGCATCCAGGGAAAAATGGAATTATTTTATGGAATAAATTCATTTCAACTAGAAAACTGTGAAAGACTTCCTTAGAATTTTTTGAATGACAGCCCACCCAAGTGATGGACTAAACATGTGGGTACTAAAACAACAGATATGGAATGGGCAAAGATTTCTTAGTAACCTTCAAAGAAGTAAAACTCAATGTAAGACTTTTAGAAGCAAAGAAATGTTATGTTAATATCCATTTTTTACAAAATCAGGCTATTATTTAAGCAGTTATAAAGGGGGACGGAATGTTTGTCAGTTCCAGGAATCCTCCAAACAAGGTTTATAAACATTTATATATCTTTGGGATAGGGTTGGCATAACTGAATTAGTTTTTTTCTTCAAGTTACTAAACTTCTAAATAATATTCTACTCACCAATTACTCATTTATTTTCAGAATATACTCAGTCCTACTTTACTTACCAAGTCACACTTTTGTGTTATTGTTTTTACTAGAATAAGTATTTAATTGCTTTTAATTAAAATTATGAATTCAGTAAAACCTGAAAAGCAGCACACAAGATGTGTTTTACTTAAACAGGTCTTACTGTATGTACTTTTATTGACTTTAATATGTTTTGTACAGGTTTCATCAAACACTACCTTAAAACCTAGTTCATTTTACAATAATGAGTACTGAAATAATTAATGCGATTATACACTTGGAAAATGTATGAGTTTCTTTTTCGATTACAGAAGTGTGAAATGTGTTAAGTCTTAAATGTGAAAAAGTAGAAACAGTTCATGATATTCAATTATAAACATCTATTTACCAATTTAAATAATTAAAGAACAATAATAAAATATTTGTTCACAATTGTGTTGCATCTACTTACCATATATAAATGGAGTGTTTTTCAACCTTGCACCTCTAAGTAAGACATTTTCGTGACATAAAGATTTCACAGTTTTCTCATCGCCATCTTGGATTTCAATACGTCCAACAAACTTATAAAGGTCTGTGATTGGTTGTTGACATTCTATGATTCCGCGAAAAGATTCAAAAGTGTCCGAGGTCTGAAGATGACGTGTCTCAGGCACACAATAGAATGTCTGCAAAATAATAATATGACAATCCAAATTAGAAACTACATTGTGCTATACAGTATTGCTTTATTTTTAAAAATCATGACTTTCTCAAATTGTTTTCCAAAAAGTTATTTCTATGCTGAAATTATGATTTCTTCGAATTTAACCTGTTGATTTCATACATTATGCTTGCCTGTTGGAAATTTTAATGAACATTTACAACATATTTGTTTGTTTCTTCATACATAACACACAACTCAAGAAATACCTTTAAGTTGGTCTCTCCATCTAAGTTGGCTGTAGTGATGTAACACTCTCCGTCAGGGTCATGCGATGACATCATAACCAAGTCACATGGCAACGGATGGTTCATCTGGACTCTTAAGACATCACCAACCTAAACAATTATTAAGGTGGGTGTAGGGATATATTTTACATGAGGTTAGTAAATAATTATATGGATAAATCATTCAATTCTGCCTACCTTAACTATTACCAGAGAGTAGATTCTTCCTCACTAAAAAGTAATGTTTTTATCTAAAATAGCCATTACTAACAAAACGATATCATTTTCTTTCAAAATGCTATGAGCAAATCTAAAAAGCTTTTTATCTACTCTTTCATATTATTCATTCACAAATATGATAATGTATATAATTTGAAGAAATTTGATCTAAAAATCAGAATTAGTTGAATGATGTCAGATGTTTCATATAGTACTCAGCATTCATAGAAATCTTTCTAATGGTTATGGCTCCTGGTAGACTTACCACTATTTCATGGGACTTGATTTCTCGCAACTCGCCATTTCTCACTACCCAGCATGCTCTATTGTTGACTTCATTGTCCGCTTGGTGACGTAACCAATCCTCATAACCCTACAGATTTGAAAAGTAGAGATAAGTCAGAATATTGTGATAGATCAATATTACACATGTTGCTTGCAATTTCCTCACCCACCCCCCCCCCCCCCCCCCCCCATTCTCTAATACTGCCTTTAAGGAATCATTAAAAAAAGAATTAACAACTGGAAAACCACTGGAAAAGTATAATGATGTCATACTGAGATAGATCAATATTACACATGTTGCTTTCAATTTCCTCACCCCCACCCCCCCCCCCCCCATTCTCTGATTCTGATTCTGATAAAACACATAAGTCAAGAATTCCTAAATCCAATGTTGTAACCTTGGATATAATAACCTTGGATATAATGATGTCATAGTAAGAGAACAATGGCCTTGAGGAGTCTTAACCCTCTCTTATATTTCACTCTTCCTACTAATGAATACATTACTTCAAACTTACTTGTTTTATTGCAGTTACTGTGATGACAAACACCAAATGGACTATACTTACTTGTTTAATTGCAGTAACTGTGATGACAAACATCAAAGAGGACTATACTTACTTGTTTTATTGCAGTAACTGTGATGACAAACACCAAGGGGACTATACTTACTTGTTTAATTGCAGTAACTGTGATGACAAACACCAAGGGGACTATACTTACTTGTTTTAACTTGCTGTAACTGTGATGACAAATGCCAAGGGGACTATACTTACTTGTTTTATTGCAGTAACTGTGATGACAAACACCAAGGGGACTATACTTACTTGTTTAATTGCAGTAACTGTGATGACAAACACCAAGGGGACTATACTTACTTGTTTTATTGCAGTAACTGTGATGACAAACACCAAGGGGTCTATACTTACTTGTTTTAATGCAGTAACTGTGATGACAAACACCAAAGAGGACTATACTTACTTGTTTTATTGCGGTAACTGTGATGACAAACATCAAAGGGGACTAAACTTACTTGTTTTATTGCTGCAACTGTGATGACAAACACCAAAGGGGACTATACTTACTTGTTTTATTGCAGTAACGGTGATGACAAACACCAAGGGGACTAAACGTACTTGTTTTATTGCTGCAACTGTGATGAAAAACACCAAGGGGACTAAACTTACTTGTTTTGTTGGTGCAACTGTGGTGACAAACACCAAGGGGACTATACTTACTTGTTTTATTGCTGTAACTGTGATGACAAACACCAAGGGGACAATACTTGTTTTATTGTAGTAACTGTGATGACAAACACCAAGGGGACTAAACTTACTTCTTTTATTGCTGTAACTGTGATGACAAACACCAAGGGGACTATACTTACTTGTTTTATTGCTATAACTGTGATGACAAACACCAAGGGGACTATACTTACTTGTTTAATTGCAGTAACTGTGATGACAAACACCAAGGGGACTATACTTACTTGTTTTAACTTGCTGTAACTGTGATGACAAATGCCAAGGGGACTATACTTACTTGTTTTATTGCAGTAACTGTGATGACAAACACCAAGGGGACTATACTTACTTGTTTAATTGCAGTAACTGTGATGACAAACACCAAGGGGACTATACTTACTTGTTTTATTGCAGTAACTGTGATGACAAACACCAAGGGGTCTATACTTACTTGTTTTAATGCAGTAACTGTGATGACAAACACCAAAGAGGACTATACTTACTTGTTTTATTGCGGTAACTGTGATGACAAACATCAAAGGGGACTAAACTTACTTGTTTTATTGCTGCAACTGTGATGACAAACACCAAAGGGGACTATACTTACTTGTTTTATTGCAGTAACGGTGATGACAAACACCAAGGGGACTAAACTTACTTGTTTTATTGCTGCAACTGTGATGAAAAACACCAAGGGGACTAAACTTACTTGTTTTGTTGGTGCAACTGTGGTGACAAACACCAAGGGGACTATACTTACTTGTTTTATTGCTGTAACTGTGATGACAAACACCAAGGGGACAATACTTGTTTTATTGTAGTAGCTGTGATGACAAACACCAAGGGGACTAAACTTACTTCTTTTATTGCTGTAACTGTGATGACAAACACCAAGGGGACTATACTTACTTGTTTTATTGCTATAACTGTGATGACAAACACCAAGGGGACTATACTTACTTGTTTTATTGCAGTAACTGTGATGACAAACACCAAGGGGACTATACTCACTTGTTTTATTGCTATAACTGTGATAACAAACACCAAGGGGACTTTACTTACTTGTTTTATTGCAGTAACTGTGATGACAAACACCAAGGGGACTATACTGGTAACAGGACTAACTGGACTGTCAATGACAACCTAAGTAAATATAAAAATCAAAATCTTTAGAGCTTAAACATGAAACAAATGAACTAAAAGTAGCTTATTTCCCACTGACTGGAATAAGCAAAAGTTTTGAGATGAAGACAATCCTCTTGGGTCATAATCTGACATTTAAAATTGAGGTTCTCCTAAATATGTGTAACTTTAATCTTAACCGTTTTAATATGAGGAACATACTTCTATTCATGGAAAATAGTTCTTATAAGGTCCCTATTTAAACCAATGGAGAGGGAGGGGCAAAATCTCTCGAGTGATAATCTGAAAATTCACATATCCGTTCTCCCAAATATGTGCAATTTAAAAGTTCTAATATGAAAAACTTACCTCTATAAATGCGATACACAGAAAATAAAAGTTGGCCACCCTCTGGAACTGTTCAAAAAGATTCAGGAACAAGAAGTTCCATGCTGTGTACTGCAACAAGAAACATATAACTTGTTAATGAGATAAATATTACAGAAACCTCTATTGGCATTTAAATTTTACAAATTCGGATATTTGTGATATTACTAAGCATTTGTCAAATTGAGTATATATTTCCAATATACCAGCAAAATAATAGCACTTTGACTGGGGTTTAAAGATCAATTTAGCGTACATTTTCAAAGAATTGCCCTAAAGTAGAATGCATAGGCTTATGGTGATAGGACATGTGTTCACTAAAGATGGCAGTGTAGTCAAGTGGTTTGTCTTCATATCTTGTCTACAGGAAAACCATTGCGATAGCCGCGCCCCCTTTGTCTTTATCCTTCCAAAGTGAACTCGCAAACGGCAGATAAGAGGGGCTCTGGCATACCAGAATGCAGGAAAACCACTTAAATACACCGCCATCTTTATATCAGCCTAAAACTATAGTAGAAGATTGTCTTATTATTTCATGAAAAACTGATCTTCAACTATTTTAAATTATCTTTCCAATTGCCCATCTGAGAATCTGAGAGATTGCCATATAAGGATTAACATTACATTACAATATATCGTCAGATTATTTCATATATACACAATTGCAGTTATAATCAGCTACTATATCTAGTATTCATTTTCATAAACACTATACTACTATAAGACAAAATTATCTTGTTTTCAAACACAGTAGTTATCAGAAAACCTTCTTGTTTCAACAATCTACAGTTATCTCTCTCAAGACTTACTTATAACCATGTTTCTATTCTATATATGTTTATGCAAGTCAGCTCAATGTGAGTGATTCTGATTTATACATAGGTCATTATAACTTGTTTTCGTACACTCATTTGTATTCTTAATACACCCATGTAAATATATCTACAACCAGTTAAATTCTGTCAGGCCTTAATTATTTATCTGTTGTGTCTTACCGTGCCCCTCCAAGATGAGACGAGACTCGAAGACGAGACGAGACTAACAGAATCAATAAAAGAGTCTTGGGTCGGCAGAGTTTATGAATAGGTGTATAGCTAGTATAGATATTTGACAATGATTTTCCAATTAAAACTGTGAAAATTATACTCAATATAAGAATAATATCAAAAGGCTGTGATTGATAGTTACTGTAGTTTAAGAGCTATTTTCTGTATACTGCTATAGAAGCTCATCAATGTAAAATGTTCATAGGCAAGGAATATACAATTATTGGACTTGTTATCACTTAATTCAAAACATTACTGTACCTTTGAAGTTGTAATTCGGTTGTTGGGGAATTTCTCTGCGACATACACTTCTCCCGGCGGGTGCTTGTTATTGATATACACTGAGCGATTTGGTGGACGGACTTTTTTACAGCAGTTCTGAAATTGTGAACATTTTTAAAACATTGGTCATGTATTTAAACATTCAAAGGTAGAGAAACTGTATTTAAAACATAAACAATCTATTTAGCTTACATTAGTTCATGGCGACCCAGTTAGAGAGTGAGGAATATAACAGTGAATAATAAAACATTTAGGACAATCTACTTTCAAAAAACCTATCTCACAATCAGAAATAAAGTATTGTATTACTTGAAAAGATGCACAGAAGTCTCATAGTTACACGCTTGTGCCCTCCCCCCCACAATGCACACCACCGCCACAGGTCAAGAGGGGGGGGGGGCCTCATTGCTTTTTTAACATCCTTTGAGAAATATTCCTCTAGCAATGAAGAAATGTAAATTAATCTATAACTTTTTAAACTTGAATAACTTTTTAAATTTATATTTAATCTTAAATCATCAATTTTTATTCTATTGTGAACAATATCATTATTACGTAGTAGGGGTTATCATTGTGTTCTTCTTTTGCCAGGCAAGCAAGGCACTAGATTTGGAAAGCTTTTTAGCCTCGTTGCTTTTGTCTTCCTGGCTATGTCACTGGAAAGTATTAGTTATGTTTAATACGGTAAACTGTCAAGGTAGTAACTTAGTAAGACAACTTCCACACCAAAGATTGATGTTAGACTCAGTTACCTTATTCTTCGTCCACAGTGTGGGCCTCACGCTGATCATAAAGCCCTGTTTGTTTTATTGCTTTTTATGCTATCTCTTATGGACTGTTGCTATTAATGAACTAAAATGTAATAACTGAATTTATTTCTAGAAATAGAAAAAAATGAAAAAAGAGATCTTTTTTCCTTTTTATGTCCACAATCTTGTTTCAGACAATCTTTCTAATTTTCAAAGCTCCTATCATTTAAAGCAATATATTGGGCACATTTTACAAATAAGTTTGTATAATGATAAAATGAAGAACTTACAATATTATTTTTTGTATATTGTCCTCTTACTGAAGAAATTCATAAAATGTACAGACGCTTCTTGTAGTGAAGGCATTGATTAGGTCAAGCCATTTTGGCAATTCAAATTCTCATGATATAACAAGATTTAACTAGTGTCGTCAGTCTATCTGTAAACAAATAACATGTGGAGCTGGCGGGGCAACATTTTAGGAAGCGTATTTGTAAATTCGCCAACTTGGCATCAAGGGTCATTACAATCTCAATTTATTTTTCTCCAGGATAAACCTTTTCACTAGTGCATGGTGGTCTACATGCCATGTATTCTAGCTAAGCAATTTTGGCTAGAGACTCGAGTAAAGACTGAGTATATTCTCATGAAGGTTTGTTTGTTTGTTTATGTCCATCTGTAATAGGTGCTTTGATGCCACCTTTGTTTAGTCTCTGGTGCTTGTTTTCCACACTGTGCTATCACTTGTAAGTTTTACACTGATGGTTTGTAGAAGTCTCTTTTTTTTTTTTTTTTTAATTTTACTTAAAATCCTTATCTAGTTGAACTAACGTATGTGTTTTTTAAAATTTTAAAATCTTTTGCTCTTTATGGTAAAAGTTCTGAATAGATCGTTCAGTTTCCTGTTGATTTTGTTGGGGAGTTTTTGATTTTCTCCGGCCAGGGTTTTCAAGTCTAGTGTGTATATAATTTCACACTCAAGTAAGATACAGACTGCATCGTGAAGCAGGTTATGTTAGGGTGTCATTTTCATTCATGTAAACACCAAGCCTTCCATTCAGCCAACAACCCAGTAAGACTAGTTGATTGAACTATAAGGAAAGTATGTTTTCCTCATCGTGATGCTTTTAGCAACTAATATTTCCACCTTCCTTCAATCCAACTCCAACTTCATGTCCTCAATGAGTCAAACCAAACAAACACTGAATTGAATTCAAACGTCGTTTGAAACGAGTCAGAAAAAATCTATAAATCTACTTACTATATATTTGGCGATTATCTGGATGATATTCCCCATCGTTGGTGGATTTCTCGTGAAACTAGATAAATTCCTAAGAAACGCTTCACATCTTGTGTCTTTATTACAATTATTACCCGAGATATTTAGTAAAAATAAATGGGAACGGACATTCCTGGAATTTTCCAAACCGGAAGTTTTCAATACAGTAATTTCCAGCAACGCATTGCACTTGTTTTACGAACGTAGATTGTTTTAGAATTGAAATTTGTTCGTAGTTATATGCATTTTAATATCATGACTCTACATCTACATCAATAATCTGCAAAAGGCTAATAAGCCTAATAAGTTATAATTCATTTCTATGCATTTGTAATTTTAAAATGAGTTGTAGACCATAGATCATAGTACAGAGAAGAGCAGCCAGGTTTGTAACCAAATGTCACTCAAGGCCGGAACCAGGCTGCGTCACCAAAGCTCTTCAAGACCTACAGTGGGAGCCACTGAAGGAGCGTCGAGAGGCTGCTATACCATAGATCTATTTTTAAATGTTAAGGTATTAAATTATATTCTATTCAAATTCTATCACTGTTAAATTATTTATCTGCTTTAATATGGGCTTATTAGCCTTTTGCAGATTATTGACATAGACATAGACATATGATCTATTTTAAGGTTTAAATTGTATTCAAATTCTATCACTGTTAAACTGCTTTAAAATGGGCTCTATATTAGCCTAATGCAGATTATTGATGTAGATGTAGATGTAACATGAGAGTATGCAGGCCCCGTAGCCAGGATTTGCCAAGGGGGGTTCTCTTTTGACAATTTTGGTGCAAACTAATTGCAAAAATCACATAAAAAGTGCTCCGAATGGTGAAAAACTGCATTATTTTGAACGATTTTTTGGCCAGGGTACGGGCCTGGTATGAGTTTAAGCTGCAGACTGATATATATCAGATGGGCATAAAAAATGGGATCAGAAAGTTGAATGGAAAGGTCCTCGAAACGAAGTCGGTGACCCCGGCGGGCAACCCTCAAAGAATTGGAATTCACATCGTACAAGCAAATACAAACTTTTGTAAGAAAGGATGAAACGGTTTGACAGAATAAAAAATTCGCTGCAGAAACATTGATGACAGAGAATGTGAAGAAAATTGGTTTAGACGCGGATGAAAGACTCCATTTAAAAGATGCAATGGACAGATGTACGCCATAGACAGCCGAAAGTGGAACATTCTTGTCAAGAGTCTGCTGGGAAAATATACTCTTAAGAAGACTCAGGACTCAACCAGTTCATGGAAAAAACATTTGCGCACCATCTACCGAGAAGATAGAGGACCAATTCATTATTGATCACCTTTTCAAGTGAAACAAGGAAGGGCAACATGCGTTTTTTACTTTGTCCCATGAATGTAAATTTGAAAAGATGAAACTAAAATTCCATCCGTATATTTAGGACATGACGCATTTGTGAGTGTGCATTTTTGGAAGTGAATATAAGAGGGTTATCGAGGGAGTTTAAGCTTGCATATGAATTCGAAACGCCAACCTATACGTATGACCATTGACCAATCGCCCATACAAATGCATCGCTTAAATATTTTTCGTTCACGTATAGGTTGTGAAAGCAAGCTTAAACTCCCTATTGAGTGTCAAAGTACGTTCCATGTTCATGATGCCCACCCGATATACTACTGCTATAACTTTAAGAGGAAGCATGTTACAACGACCTGAGGCAGGCCTGTCAACTTGGGAACACCTAACATGAGTGACTTGGAAATGTTGAACACCTCCCCTCAAAATGTGGACACCTTGGTCCAAATCTGAACACCTTGATCCAAATTTTGAACACATTGGTTTAAATTTTATTACATCTTGCCAAATTTTGAACACCTCGTATTTTTGTGTGTAGACGATATTTTTTAGAAAATTTTCTACAGCAAGATTTTTGCTTGACAATTACCAGGTAAAATGCGTACTTGCGTGACATTTTCTGTCACGCAAAAATAACTGGCGTGACTTCAAATTCTTCAGCAAATGCGTGACAAATACGCAAATTGCGGGACAGTTGACAGGCCTGCTGAGGGGAAAGACACTCTTGTCCACTGAGCTGTATGTAACAAGTCAGATACTAGACATGAAAGGGAGTGTGCTAAATCCAATGCCCGTGCGGGAATCGAACCCAGGACCCTTCCGCTCACAAGTTCGACGCTCTACCCCTGAACATAAGGGCTAGCCACTACATGTACAGCTGAGACTGTAGTAGCGACTTGTTATCGAGGGTCATACCCCCCCCCCCCCCCTCCGGAGGACGACCCACTTGTACCCTGCGCGCAGAGTCTAGACGAAGCTCTCTTTTAAGAAGTGAAGTCAAACGAATGCAAAGGGTAACCCACTTGTAAAGGTTCCTCAAAATTGCCATCCACTGATATGAATAATAAAGAAATATTATATAAAGGTGACCAACTGCAACCCACTAGTAAAAGTTCCTAAAAATTGCCAACTTATATATTCTTAGAATGAACCCGAGTAAAGAACATTAAAATTAAAAACCACCTGTAGCTGGAAAATTCGCTGTTTTTGTACCCTTAATTTTGGATGCTTTAAGATAAAACTGTGAGCTGGGAATGTAAAACTAGGTCTGAATTCTATTCTGAGATAAGCATCGCTAATGTATTATATTAATTTTCAATTGTTTTCGCCTTCTTCAATCCGAATTCATGTGTATTTAAACGAATGCATCCATTTCACGATGTAAATCCTGAGATCAAGGCCGGACTCAAAGAAGGATCAAACTGACGTGCTTTATTCAAATAACTCAATATATTCTCTTTGAATAATAACCCAATGTTTATTTATGTTTGTTGAATTGCTACAATAGGTTTGGACAATATTAAATACGTTAGGTATAGTTTATTTCATAAATTAATGTAAAGTACAGGTAGATGGTTGAATCCATTTATTCGAAAATGAAACGCCCAAAAACAGCATATTGTTGACAACGGATACGCTTCAACATATGTTATATTAACCAATCACCAGTCAGAACCAATTCCGCCCTTGTGATGCATGAAGTAGCTCTTTGTTTCAATTGCCTGAAACATATATAAGGTTATATATCGTTTTGATCACATGCTTTATGTTTTTCTCAAAGTCTCGTTATTCTTGCCACAATACTTTGCGCGGTGGACTATGTTGTTTTATTACTTGTGAAAGGTAGAGCCTCCAAGTGCGCTCCCTAGTGAAAACCAATGACACTAGGTGCCTCTAACAGAAACTGAATTTCATAAAGATGCCTATTATCTAACTGTAATGACCCGAGGCTAGGGACCTCGAGGGAATGACTAATGCCAAACAAGGCAGCAGGTGCAGACACGGAAGAAACTGTGCTCAATGCAACACTCTGTGCGGGAATCGAACCCAACACCCTCTGACCCAAAGCCCGATGCTCTAACAATCGAGCTAAAAAAAGCTTAAACAATTGCAAAGGTAGCTGTGTTGTAGCTAGCAACTTGCTATCGGATCGTTACATCACTAACAGTCATATCTGCAGTGGTTAGAAGTAATGTAACTGACGTACCAAAATCAGTAAAATCAGTAATACCACCATTGTTAAAACTGACACATTTTCCCGACACCAATGTCTCCCAATATACACACAACGAAACACTGACGTCATTGCTTCCGTCAGTGGAAAATTCCACAGTTAGTTGGTGTATGTTCGACTGCAGAACTAGCGCCTGTCCATTCTGCTGAACTGTCACTTTGCCGTTGATAGGTGACTCTGGTGTTGAGTAAGTCTTCGTCAAAGGGAGGGCAACTGGCTCACCATTCACCTATAGTTATAAGTAGAGCAATCATTAATTCATATTGTCACTCTTGGCTTTAGAATTCTATTTGCTTGTATGTTATACTGTATCATACTACAGTATGCTCATTACCCGTTTCACAGGTAGACTGTTGTCCATGGCACAAGAAATCAAAGTGCCTCAAAATATAATGCATTTATTTTTAGATTGGTTCTAGTCTATGCATTATGCGACCGTGTCTTGTATCAATCCCCAATTACGTATACCCCACCGCCCTAAATGTGGTTACGGAAATGTGTTTACTACAAGAGGAAAACAATAAAACAATCCTACTTGTACTATCCCGTTCGCCATTAGTGTGAAAATCTCTTTCATCATGGCAACGGTGATTGCTGGAATGGTATCAAAAAATATAATGTCGCTTATACTGAAAGACAGGAACGTCCCTCCTTGGTAGACGGAAAGTCCTGTTGTGTCGCTCTGGTATGGCTTGTATTCATTTCCATCAAATGTCATCACATTTCCATTCCCACCCCTTGTACATCTACCAAAGTCTACAATGGAGAGAGACCATGATAAAAACTGATATTTCCAATAAAGCAATACAAGTATTAGTCTCTAAAGACAAAACAGTCCTGTGGAATGCTACAAGGACTGGGTCTCTGAAAATCTCAAAATGGCCATCCACACGCACCAGTGTGGAAAACAAGATTAAATTAGTATCAAACAAAAAGTTGACACCATAAAACAACTGAAAACAATACTTCTTTAGAATATTTAATAAAAACATAAAGTGGGTCTAATTATTAGGTAATAATTAAATCCCGACGCTGCCACCAGTGTAACAATCGTGGGCCATGTATCTGCCATACAAGTGTAGCATGGCCTTGGCATAACACAGTCCCAGACTGTTATCTTATTCCCAAAGCAGTATCATTTCAACATTATCATTTAATAATAAAACAATTACATGTGGGTTTATAAGTCTGTATTAAGTCCGCATTAATATGTGAGAGTAAAGTCACATGTAGTCAGTAAGGATAAGTCAATAGGATCATCCTGCTACATACATTGGGGTTATAACTATGTGAAGTCAAGGATGAGAAATGGTATTGGTCACCTCACTTGATACCAGAGGGGTGTAGCCCCGGGTATAGGGTGGTATGGGGACCCTACTAGTTAGTATAGGGTTGCAGCCTAATGTAGCCCCGGGTATACGGTGGTATGGGGACCCTACTAGTCAATATAGGGTTGCAGCCCAATGTAGCCCCGGGTATAGGGTGGTATGGGACACCTCACTAGTCAATATAGAGTTGCAGCCTAATGTAGCCCCGGGTATAGGGTGGTATGGGACACCTCACTAGTCAATATAGGGTTGCAGCCCAATGTAGCCCTGGGTATAGGGTGGTATGGGACACCTCACTAGTCAATATAGGGTTGCAGCCTAATGTAGCCCCGGGTATAGGGTGGTATGGGACACCTCACTAGTCAATATAGGGTTGCAGCCCAATGTAGCCCCGGACCAAGGGTGGTATGGGACAACTCACTAGTTAATATAGGGTTGCAGCCTGATGTAGCCTCGGACCAAGGGTGGTATGGGACACCTCACTAGTTAATATAGGGTTGCAGCCTGATGTAGCCCCGGACCAACGGTGGTATGGGACACCTCATTAGTTAATATAGGGTTGCAGCCCAATGTAGCCTCGGACCAAGGGTGATATGGGACTCCTAACTAGTTACTTTAGGGTTGTAGCCTAATGTAGCCTCGGACCAAGGGTGGTATGGGACACCTCACTAGTTAATATAGGGTTGCAGCCCAATGTAGCCCCGGACCAAGGCTGGTATGGGACACCTAACTAGTGACTATAGGGTTGCAGCCTAATGTAGCCAGGGGGGGGCAGCCTGATCACCTATATTCACACACCAATTGTGTAGCCACTTGTAGCTCGTATCTGGGAAAGTGCGAATGTGAGGGGGTGAGGGACTAGTCACATACAGCAAAATAGCCAGTGTGACTGAGGGAGGGGGAGGGCGTTGATTAGGGGAAGTCTAAATGTCACAGTCCGTGTTAATAGTCAATGTTAGTGGGGGGGGGGGTGTATGTATAAGTGTTAATCTCACCAACACATTAAAACAACATAATAAAAGCAATTAAAGATTAACATTAATTAATTCTATTTCAATTGGAAATCATTCATTAATACAAGTTATGTTACATAAAGAATAAGATCTGACTTATATAGCGTAAAATATACCCGAATACCATGCAACTCCTACATGGCTGCAAATGGCTCCAACTAGAGCCTAGCTACATTTGGCTAGCAACCTGACAGCCACACGCAGCTTCCATTACAGTACATTGGGATGGCCTGAATCACCCCAAAACTCACTCCAAAACGGGACCCTGGTACCAATACATGTTCTACCGGTATAGTGGGTATAATTAACACTAACAATTAAGCATAATTACCGTAATTAGAGGTAGATTTTGACAAGAAAAGACATGATTTGAACTCAAAGTTACATGGAAATTACATCAAAAGTTTGACTCTGAATAACAACTGAATCAGTTAACGAAATGCCTTGAAACTTCTTGACCAATTAAATAACTACTTCATAATTACCTTAGAACACCATTCACCCCGTTTAACGAACGGAAACTGCTATAAATCCAATGTAATTGAAGAGAAATGAGCAACCTGTTTTCCACCATTTTGAGATTTCCAAGAGACTGATCACACAACATGATTACATATCACTACTCACATAACAAGATGAACTACACTTTAAAATAAGACAATTCGAAGCACAGTAAAGTTATGTACATATATATAAACATGTATACAATAAATTAGACACACTAAATAGCGTACATAGGTCAAAATAATCACAACAAGGCAAGATAAACAATGGAACTATATCCTTAAGCCGAGTAACTTCAGACACTGAAGTAGTGGACAGGCTACACAGCCTATGACTCATGGTGACTCTTACAAAAGTTAACATACAAAATTCGTACAATTCACAAGGCGATACCTTGTCACTACAGTCTCAGTCAGCAAAGTACAGATGCACTCTGCATTAACTGTAAACAAAACTAGCATTGGCGCTATGTAGGCGCTGGCCAAAGAATACATGCAAGTACAGGACATATATAATACAGTAAAACTCCATACTGGTGAACAATGAAATTGTTAGTTATTTTGACTAAAGCAATGCAATAAGAAGGCTCAGTAACGGCACATCAAGCCAGATATAAGCCATTGAAAAGAGTAGACAGACTGATGGGTCGTTACATTTTTGACAGAGAATGTGAAGGAAATTGGGTTTAGACACGGATGCAAGACTCCATCTCAAGATGCAATGGACAGATGCACGCAATAGACAGCCGAAACTGGAACATTCTTGTTAAGAGTCTGCTGGGAACATATAGGCTACACTTGAATCCCCCCCCCCTTCTCTTGAGGAGACTCAGGACTCCTGAACCAGTTCTAAAACATTTGCGCACCATCTACCGAGAAGAAATAGGACCAATAGATCACGTTTTTCTGAATCAAGATGTTTTTTCTGCGGCGGACAAGGAATTTATCGCAACATGCTTCAATGGAAAGGGTTGGAGAGGGGAAAACATTGGGAATGAATTCCTTGGGAAAATTGGATAGAAGATTATTAAATAAAGTGATCAGAAAATTCAATGGAAAGGTCCTCTAGAAAGTAAGTTGGTCAATGGATGACCCAAAACTGTTTTCCCTCAAAGAACTGGGATTGAAATTGTACAAGCAAATGCAAACTTTTTTAAGAAGGGATGAAACGGTTTCATAGAATAGAAAACATTCTTATTAAGAGTCTGCTGGGAAAATATACTCTTAAGGAGACTCAGGACCCAACCAGTTTATGGAAAAAACATTTACGAACCATCTACCGAGAAGATAGAGGACCAATTCATTATTGATCACCTTTTCAAGTGAAACAAGGAAGGACAACATGCGTTTTTTACTTTGTCCTATGAATGTAAATTTGAAAAGATGAAACTAAAATTCCATCCGTATATTTAGGACATGACGCATTTGTGAGTGTGCATTTTTGGAAGTGAATATAAGAGGGTTATCGAGGGAGATTAAGCTTGCATAAATTCGAAACGCCAACCTATACGTATGACCATTGACCAATCGCCCATACAAATGCATCGCTTAAATATTTTCCGTTCACGTTTAGGTTGTGAAAGCAAGCTTAAACTTACTATTGAGTGTCAAAGTACGTTCCATTTTCATGCCCACCCGATATACTACTGCTATAACTTAAGAGGAAGCATGTTACAACGACCTGAGGGGAAAGACACTCTCGTCCACTGAGCTGTATGTACATGTAGCAAGTCAGATACTAGACATGAAAGGGAGTGTGCGCTAAATTCAATGCCCGTGCGGGAATCGAACCTAGGACCCTTCCGCTCACAAGTTCGACGCTCTACCCCTGAACATAAGGGCTAGCCACTACATGTACAGCGCTGAGACTGTAGTAGCGACTTGCTATCGAGGGTTACCCCCCCCCCTCCGGAGGACGACCCACTTGTAAAGGTTCCTCAAAATTGCCATCCACTGATATGAATAATAAAGAAATATTATATATATATATCTATAGGTGACCAACTGCAACCCACTAGTAAAAGTTCCTAAAAATTGCCAACTCATATATCTTAGAATGAACCCGAGTAAAGAACATTAAAATTAAAAACCACCTGTAGCTGGAAATTTCGCTGTTTTGTACCCTTAATTTTGGATGCTTCAAGAGAAAACTGTGAGCTGGGAATGTAAAATTGGGTCTATATTTTTGAATTTTATTCTGAGATCAGCATCGCTAATGTATTAATTTTCAATTGTTTTCGCCTTCGTCAATCCGAATTCATGTTTATTTAAACGAATGCATCCATTTCACGATGTAAATCCTGAGATCAAGACCGGGCTCAAAGAAGGATCAAACTGATGTGCTTTACTCAAATAACTCAATATATTCTCTTTGAATAATAACCCAATGTTTATTTATGTTTATGTGCTACAATAAGTTTGGACAATATTGAATACGTTAGGTATAGTTTATTTCATAAATTAATGTAAAGTACAGGTAGATGGTTGAATCCATTATTCGAAAATGAAACGCCCAAAAACAGCATATTGTTGACAACGGATACGCTTCAACATATGTTATATTAACCAATCACCAGTCAGAACCAATTCCGCCCTTGTGGTGCATGAAGTAGCCCTTGGTTTCAATTGCCTGAAACATATATAAGGTTATATATAGTTTTAATTATATGCTTTATAATTAAGTTTTTTTCAAAGTCTCGTTATTCTTGCCACAATACTTTGCGCGGTGGACTATGTTGTTTTATTACTTGTGTAAGGTAGAGTCTCCAAGTGCGCTCCTGAGTGAAAACCAATGACACTAGGTGTCTCTAACAGAAACTGAATTTCATAAAGATGTCTATTATTTAACTGTAATGACCCGAGGCTAGGGACCTCGAGGGAATGACTAATGCCAAACAAGGCAGCAGGTGCAGACACGGAAGAAATTGTGCTAAATGCACCACTCTGTGCGGGAATCGAACCCAACACCCTCTGACCCAAAGCCCGATGCTCTAACAATCGAGCTAAAAACGACTTAAACAATTGCAAAGGTAGCTGTGTTGTAGCTTGCAATTTGCTATCGGATCGTTACATCACTAACAGTCATATCTGCAGTGGTTAGAAGTAATGTAACTGACGTACCAAAATCAGTAAAATCAGTAATACCACCATTGTTAAAACTGCCACATTTTCCCGACACCAATGTCTCCCAATATACACACAACGAAACACTGACGTCATTGCTTCCGTCAGTGGAAAATTCCACAGTTAGTTGGTGTATGTTTGACTGCAGAACTAGCGCCTGTCCATTCTGCTGAACTGTCACTTTGCCGTTGATAGGTGACTCTGGTGTTGAGTAAGTCTTCGTCAAAGGGAGGGCAACTGGCTCACCATTCACCTATAGTTATAAGTAGAGCAATCATTAATTCACATTGTTACTCTTGGCTTTGGAATTCTATTTGCTTGTATGTTATAGTACAGTATGCTCATTACCCGTTTCACATGTACACTGTTGTCCATGGCACAAGAAATCCAAGTGCCTCAAAATATAATGCATTTATTTTAGATTGGTTCTAGTCTATGCATTGTGCGACCGTGTCTTGTATCAATCCCCAATTACGTATACCCCACCGTCCTAAATATGGTTACGGAAATGTGTTGAAATATCATTACTACAAGAGGGACACAATAAAACAATCCTACTTGTACTATCCCGTTCGCCATTAGTGTGTAAACCTCTTTCATCATGGCAACGGTGATGGCTGGAATGGTATCAATAAAGATAATGTCGCTTATACTGAAAGACAGGAACGTCCCTCCTTGGTAGACGGAAAGTCCTGTTGTGTCGCTCTGGTATGGCTTGTATTCATTTCCATCAAATGTCATCACATTTCCATTCCCACCCCTTGTACATCTACCAAAGTCTACAATGGAGAGAGACCATGATAAAAGCTGATATTTCCAATAAAGCAATACAAGTATTAGTCTCTAAAGACAAGGATATTCAGTAAAGCCAGGTCTACAAATACCACCAGTATTCTCTAATAGACACGCATATCCAGTAAATCCAGGTCTATACATACCAGTTTTCTCTAACTGACACGCATATACCTTAACGCCAGGTCTATACATACCAGTATTCTCTGATCCACACGCATATCCAGTAAATCCAGATCTATACATACCTAGTATTCTCTAATTGACAGGCATATCCTTTAAAGCCAGGTCTATACATACCAGTATTTTCTAACTGACACGCATATCCAGTAAATCCAGATCTATACATACCTAGTATTCTCTAATTGACAGGCATATCCTTTAAAACCAGGTCTTTACATACCAGTATTCTCTAACTGACACGCATATCCCGTAAAGCCAGGTCTATACGTTCAAGTTTTCTCGAATTTTCTAACTGACACGCATATCCCTTAAAGCCAGGTCTATACATACCAGTTTTCTCTAATTTTCTAATTGACACGCATATCCCTTCAAGCCAGGTCTATACATACCAGTATTCTCTAATTCACACGCATATCCCGTAAAGCCAGGTCTATACATCTCTAGTTGACACGCATATCCTTTAAAGCCAGGTCTATACGTACAAGTTTTCTCGAATTTTCTAACTGACACGCATATCCCTTAAAGCCAGGTCTATACATACCAGTTTTCTCTAATTTTCTAATTGACACGCATATCCCTTCAAGCCAGGTCTATACATACCAGTATTCTCTAATTCACACGCATATCCCTTAAAGCAAGGTCTATACATGCAAGTATTCTCTTATTTACACGCATATCCCGTAAAACCATGTCTATACATACCAGTCTTCTCTAACTGACACGCATATCCAGTATAGCCAGGCCTACAAATTCCATCGAGACAATACGAATCTGTGTAATCCAAACAGCCATCACATTGAAACTTGACACCATGTTTATCCAAAAACCTCTCTGCAATCGTCTTTGATATCAACACGTCACTACTAATACGAATGACAAGTATCTGGAGCTGTGAGATTTTGTTATGAATTTTGAACATTTTCGATTTGGCTTTCTTGTTTACCATTTGATCGTAAACTGTCGATAAACTGGTCTCCAATGTTTTTCCAAAATCATAAAGTCCATTAATTGATGCATATAATTTCCACCATTTTATATCCTTGTCAAATAACGCCGCAACTTCCTTCAAGTAAGACTCGACATCAGTATAGCCATGGTTGGTGGGAATGTGGTGTTGAAATGTTGTAAAAATGCGCTCAATAAAACGAAAGTATTGAGAAAACTGTTTGTATTCGTGAAGAATTCCTTTCAGGTTTACACTCAGTGCTCGCAAATCTCGTCTCATAGGTTTGGTTATCTTTGCCGCCAGTTCTACGTTCTTCTTACTTAAGCTTGTCACACTGTCGTAAATGTTACTTGTTATATTCATCAGTGTTTCCAAAGTCTGAAAAGGACCGTCAGTTGGTAACGATTTAACTCTTGCTACTGCGTTTCCAAGCTCACATGATAGTGAGGTGGGCGTGGAGTGGTCACGCCAATCGGTGTAGTCATAAATACCATACTCATCGTCTTTATCGTCATCTTTGTCATCATCGTCGTCTTTATCTTTATCATCGTCATCATTTTTATGATCATCCGTAACATCTTCACCTTTACTACTATCGTCATCTTTTTGATCATCATCTTTTTCACCATCATTATCATCGTCAGCTTCGCCACTACCGTCATCTCCACCAATCGTTCCGCCAGCACCATCTCTATCATTATCTTCAGTATCGCCATCAACTCCGTCATCGCCATTCTCATCCACCTTGTCACCAAATTCAGTATCGTTTTTCTTGCCAATTACAACCAAGGAAACCATGAAAACACATAATCCTAAAATAAAGATTCGAAACATTGTGAGCAGTGTTCAGTAGGTTAGCAACTCTGTGAACAACATTGGAAACATCACCAGGATAGATGATTGCAATAACAGCTTTAATTGCTCTATTAATTAATATGTATATATATACATATATTAATGAATTGTTTTGTTTTATTGACCTACGAAAGTGTATCAGCTGAAAACATTCTGCTTATAGTCATGCTATGGACACAACGATTGGACGGCGTCCATCACGTGATCACCATATTTGTCCTCACGTGAAATATTGTCTTTGTTGTCAATTCGGACAAAGGAGAGAATGAGTTTGATGGATTTAACTACAGTTTATAATGTATAGAAGTACAAACAATACATACTGGAGTATCAATATCATAAAATATGTTCAAGTACGCAGTTTGAACATTCTAATATGATTATATTTTATACAGCGTGTCCATAAAGTATCGCTACAATAAAATACAAACGTCTGTGGAATGTGTCAGAAGACCATATATATTTCAGTGAAATATTTTCCAAGGTGAATATCTTTTTTACATTTTTCATATACATTTCTTTTTGTATTTTGAATGAATAATACACGATGTACCTATTTAATAATACTTGTCCAAGTAATACTATTATTTCCAGATTCATGCAAGTAAACTCGAAAAAGATGACATCTATTATATTGGTACAATACTTATTCACTTAATCAAGCCACTCTTATTACGATTCGCATCTCTATAGTCTATTGTCATTTTATTGTGTGGATTTGGTGATTGCTTTTTATTAGAATACAAATCCTCAGATAGATATTTATTAAAATAAGTTGTTTTTAATATCATGTGGTTCCGGAATTGTTTGTTGTCACATACCATCAGACTATCTGAGTCTAGTTAAAGCAAACACATAATATGTCGTATCCAAATATATAAGCTCACTACGAAGTTGAAATTAAGTGTCTGTCGGTGTATTTTAAAATATTATTTATTCTCATTTCTATAAGCATTCAAACAACAATCTTTTTTTAAGGTGAGCCCAATACTACACAACACAATAAGACACGACACAATACAACATGACACGAAAAAACATATAGCACAACACAATGCAATACAACAGAATGCAATACGACACAACACAATACAGCACAATCCAATACAGCACAATCCAACACAGCACAATATAATACAACACGACACCATACAAATACACACAATACTACTCCCAAGACCAATGGACTTATGGACCCGAACCAACGTATGCCCACGGACCTGAAAGTCCGTGGTATGCCCAATGCTTGAACCAAAGATTTAGGCCATTTATATGATTTCTCATAGCCTTTATCATTAGAAAGCAGCTAATTTCAAGTATTATAATATTGGAATGCTCTGTGCACTTGAAAAACATATTTCATGATATTGATACTCCAACGTGTATTGTTTGTACTTCAATACATTATAAAGTGTAGTGAAATCCATCAAACTCAATCTCCTTTTTGTCTCCACTTTGACAACACAGCCAATCTATAATGATGGTGACAGCTTGATAACAGAACTATGTTTATGTCTGATTCCTGGCGCGACGGTATATGAAAAATGAAATCATTCATCAAAATATGCTATTTGATAAAATAATTAAATCAGATAATGCACTTCTGTGTTCAAATTACGTGTCAGGTGTCATCATAAGCCAACGCACAGAGCAATGTCCGTCTCGTTGCGTCTCGTTATTTTGGGATTGAGTCTTTTCCTATTGGCCAAGGGCGTTGAAGGCCAAGCCGAAGATGGCACCAATGATGGGAACAGCACCGCAAGTGATCCGAAAGATGATGGCAATGATGGCGGCACTGCCAGTGAAATGATAAGTGATTATTATAACTTTGAATGGCGAGACCATCCCACACCAGCCTCACTTTCGTGCGAACTCGGGAATGCAGTGGCCAGGGCTAGATCATTACCGACTGACGGACCGTTTCAAACCCTACCAACATTAATAGATATCACAAAAAGTATTTACGACAATGTGACCAGTTTGAAGGGAAAGAATATAACGCTGGTGACCAAGCTGAACAAGAAGATGAGACACGACTTGAGGACATTGGTGGCCAATCTGAAGCGTATTCTTCATGATTACAAAGAGTTTTCAGAAGATTTTAATTTCATTGAGCGTATCATGAAAACATCTCGACACCATATTCCTGCTAATCACGGTTATGCCGATGTTGATGTCTACTTGACGGACGTAGCCGCGTTGTTTCATAAGGATATTCTGTGGTGGAAATTGTATGAATCCATAAATGGGCTTTACAATTTTGGAAAAACACTAAAGACCAGTTTATCAACAGTATACGGTAGCATAATGAGCCAGAAAGCACAAACAAGAATGTTGAAAATTCACAACAAAATGGCAAGTCTTCAAATGTCTGTGATTGGAATAAGCAGTGATGTGTTGATTACGCAAACGATTGCAGAACGATTTTTGGATAAACATGGTGCAAATTTTGGATGCAGTGGTTGCTTGGATCCAACAGACCGTTACTGTCTCAAAGGAATATGTAGGCCTGGATTTATTGGATATGCATGTCAATTAGAGAATACTGGTATGTATAGACATGGTTTTACGTCACGGTTTTTCTCTACATCATCCTTTTGACCCTAAGCATCCACAAGAAGTAGATGCAATAGCCAGATCTAACCTAATTAAAATTGAAAAATGGTCTGACACCTGGAAATTGGAGTTTAAACCTGAAAAGAGTTCTGAAATGATATTCCACTCATCCAGATCTAAAGTCGATAATGTTTCTGTTTCAAAGTTAAACAATGTTGAAATTACCAGAGATCACGAGCACAAACATCTGGGATTTACTTTTGACCCAAGCTTATCATATGACAAGCATATTGGAGAAATCATATCAAAAATACGAAAAATGTTGAACCCTTTAAAGAAACTTAAATATAAGTTAGGTAGTAAGCATCTAGAAACCATATTTAAGTCCTTTATTTTACCCCAGTTTGACTATGGTGCTATCATGTACAGCACAGCCTCAAAGTTCCTATTACAACGACTCGACAGTCTTTATTATAAAGCTGCACTTTATTGTTCTGGGTGCATCCAAGGGAGCAGTTCAAAAAAGGTTTTAAACCTACTCAATTGGCCAACTCTTGAATCAAGACGCAGTATCCAGATAAACAACTTTATGTTCAAAATTGTAAATGGTACAAGTCCTCCCTATGTAACTGATATTTTTGACAAATTTAGAAACCATGCAAACAGAGTATTGAGATATAATGAAGCATTTAAAATGCCCATTAGATGCTCAAATAGATTCTCCACCTCAGCAATACCAGCTGCAATTTCAAATTGGATCAATCTTCCACCTGCTATTAAATCTAAGAATACTCTTTCGAATTTTAAAAAACACCAAAGAGTACATTTCCAAAAAACGCCCTCGATTTTGTCAACAAGCCAGCTTTATCTAACAAGGGTTCAAGAAATAGTTCTCAATAAAGTGAGAGCTGACCTATACTTCAAAGCCCAGTTCTACGCTCACAACTTTCAGTCTATTGACAGCCCTAATTGCACTTGTGGAAAACCACAAACTCTGAAACATTTTCTCTTTCAATGTGACTTACTTACTATACAAAGACAGCAATTCATGGACAAACTCACTGATCTCGAACCAAACATCTTCAGTCATAATCTCTCTCAAACTGATTTCATAGCTATTTTGAAAACAGGAATTCCCAAATTAAACATAGATGCAAATTCCCAAATACTACTTCTCATTGTTAATTTTATCAAAGACAATAGCTAATTCCCTCCTTCTTATCCATCTCTAGTATCCTCAAGTCCCGTCACACCTGCCCTAGTCCAAGACCCTGCCTGCTCTGCCACTTCTACTTCCACCTGCCCCCTATTCTTATATAATGCCATTGTGGCGATTTAAGAATTTACATGTCTGTATTTACATTTTTTGTATTCTATTGAAATAAATTTAATAATAAAAAAAAAAATGGTTTTACGGGATATGTGTGTCAATTAGAGAATACTGGGTATGTATAGGCCTGGCTTTAAGGGATATACGTGTCAATTAGAGAATACTGGTATGTATAGGCCTGGCTTTAAGGGATATACGTGTCAATTAGAGAATACTGGGTATGTATAGACCTGGCTTTAAGGGATATGCGTGTCAATTAGAGAATACTGGTATGTGTAGACATGGTTTTTCTAGATGCGTGTCAGTTAATTAGATAATTCTGACATGTATAGACATGGCTTTACGGGATATGCTTGTCAGTTAGACAATACACAAGGGTTATGTTATAGGAGGTTTTGGATATGGGGTCTATCCTGCGGGATATATAAATATCTAATCGAGACCCAAGAGGGCTTTACTAGACATGCGTGTCACTAAGAAAATACTTCTTTGGATAAACCTGCCTATACAGGATATGCGCGTCAAATAGAGAAAATGAGTATGTTAAGACCTGGCTTTACTCGATATGCGTGACAGTTAGAGAATATTAGTATGTTTAGACCTGGCTTTACTCGATTTGCGTGGCAGTTGGAAAATATTAGTATGTTTAGACCTGGCTTTACTAAATATGCGTATCAGTTAGATAATTATGGTTTGAATATATTTTGTTTGTATAGACTTTGTTTTACATGATATGCATGTCAATTAACGAATATTATTATAGACTTTGGAACATGTAGTAGAACTGGCAGTGGAAGGGTGAGGACTTTCTCCGGATCTGTATTCAATCCGGACCAGAGCGACACGACTGCACTTATCATCCACAATGGAGGGGCGTTCCTATCTTTCAGTATAAGTGACGTTGTCTTTATTGATGATGTTCCTGTAATCGTAGTCTCCATTATTGAAGAGGTCTACTTCCTTATGGCGAACGGAACAGTACAAGTAAGATACACCCCCTCCCATAAGTTGAGCAACCGGAAATTAATGACAGACTTTGAAATGATATCCAATGAAAACATCCGGTTGTCAAACTTATAGAGGGGAGTGAAGTCAGTATGTCTGCCTCTTGTTTGTATTTGCCTGTCTAGTTTCCATACTTATAGAGGGGAGTGTAGTCAGTATGTCTGCCTCTTGTTTGTATTTGCATGTCTAGTTTCCATACTTATAGAGGGGAGTGTAGTCAGTATGTCTGCCTCTTGTTTGTATTTGCCTGTCTAGCTTCCATACTTATAGAGGGGAGTGTAGTCAGTATGTCTGCCTCTTGTTTGTATTTGCCTGTCTAGTTTCCATACTTATAGAGGGGAGTGTAGTTAGTATGTCTGCCTCTTGTTTGTATTTGCCTGTCTAGTTTCCATACTTATAAAGGGGAGTGTAGTCAGTATGTCTGCCTCTTGTTTGTATTTGCATGTCTAGTTTCCATACTTATGGAGGGGAGTGTAGTCAGTATGTCTTCCTCTAGTTTGTATTTGCCTGTCTAGTTTCCATACTTATAGAGGGGAGTGTAGTCAGTATGTCTGCCTCTTGTTTGTATTTGCCTGTCTAGTTTCCATACTTATAGAGGGGAGTGTAGTCAGTATGTCTGCCTCTTGTTTGTATTTGCCTGTCTAGTTTCCATACTTATGGAGGGGAGTGTAGTCAGTATGTCTGCCTCTTGTTTGTATTTGCCTGTCTAGTTTCCATACTTATGGAGGGGAGTGTAGTCAGTATGTCTTCCTCTAGTTTGTATTTGCCTGTCTAGTTTCCATACTTATGGAGGGGAGTGTAGTCAGTATGTCTTCCTCTAGTTTGTATTTGCCTGTCTAGTTTCCATACTTATGGAGAGGAGTGTAGTCAGTATGTCTGCCTCTTGTTTGTATTTGCCTGTCTAGTTTCCATACTTATGGAGGGGAGTGTAGTCAGTATGTCTTCCTCTAGTTTGTATTTGCCTGTCTAGTTTCCATACTTATGGAGGGGAGTGTAGTCAGTATGTCTGCCTCTTGTTTGTATTTGCCTGTCTAGTTTCCATACTTACAGCTTGGGTGTCAAGGTAACCATTCAAACAATGAAAAATCAATATATAGTAGGACTAGGATAGTAAGGGCTGCCAACCCAGTAAATACTGACACCTGTATTGGTTATGGTGTAATTCTTTTGGTACCAGGCTAATTTACAAAGAGTCCTTTCAATTTTCTTTATAAACAGTGTTATCTGCAAAGTATGAACCCATAAGTCAATCCAATACATGCAAAGCACCCTAGTTTTCTTCGTTCTCCAAAGTAAGTCAGGAATTTTTAGAAACTTCATTTGAAATTCTGATTGTTCCAACTGCAGGTGAACGGCGTGCAGGTTGACTTACCTATGACTAAGATTCATGAAACACCTATCAGGGGTGACGTCACTGTACAGCAGAAAAACGACGCCCTGGTCCTTCAGTCGAATATACACCAACTTAGAGTGGAGCTTTCCACAGACGGGGCCAATGATGTCAGCGTGTCGTTGAGTATGTATTGGAAGACACAAATATTCGGAAAATGTGGCAATTTTAACTAATTATTCCGTTGAATCTCTGACTACTACAAAAGAGTATCTCAAAATAATTTAAGAAATAAGTGTAGATCAACGTGATGAGACTTTACTTATAATTTTCATCATCATAGTTACCAATAATCATCAATATGATATTGAATGAATGACATAAAAAATTATATAACATTGGTCACTGACAATGTCCAAGACGTTTTTCTTTGGTTTATGTAATTTTCGACTGCATCATGTCATCAGGAGGACAATATTAACATATATGATCAATATGTTGAAACATTTCCATCTGTTTTAGAGTCTGTGATTTATTAAACATTTTCCCTTGCATTAAAACTATTCTTTGTCAATTGAATCCAGCGAATAAAGTCAATTTGATTGAATTTATTGATATTTGTTGCTACCATTTTTACACTTTAAGTTAGGAAAAATTATAGCCGAGACCGCTAGACCAAGACCAAACCAAATTAGGTGGTTTATCTAACTTAAACAACACACTGTGTACTGACTCTTGTGAAAGGTAAATGGTCCATGGTTCAGTTTTAGGAAAATCTTCAGCTTCGGTGGACGGCATGTTACAGGTCCAAGTAGAGTTTGAAATTTGATTTTTTTGTATTTACCACTCATCTATTGAATGAGTGAATAGGGTATAATTAGTTCAGCTCTAGTGCACTATATGTGGCAGTCATCTTTTGTGCCACTCTGGTTTTGGATAGCTTGCCAAGTGAACTTCCTTTAAAACCAATAGAAAACGAATGTACTTTCATTCTATCGTGCTGCTACCTAAATGGGGTTCAATATGAACGTTTTTGGATAATCATATATTGTCATAATTTCATTACACCACCGTAATTTTAGTCAAAGATAAAAAAACTCTCAAAGTAGAGCATTTGTATCTTCACTTCTTGAACACTCAGTATTCATAGATGACAGCCTTCTGATCAAAGCCGTTAAAACTAGTTTAAAAGACTATCGTTCGACCTAAGACTGAGTCCAAGCTACGAAACGACCCTAGTAAAATTGTTACGTCAGTGAACGCTTGGCGGAACGTCTTATTCTCGACCTTTTCAATATCTTCTCGTACAGTGAAACACAGCAAATATTTTCTCATAAATTGTAACATGTATTGTAACTGTGTTATAAGCGAAAGTTAATTTACATTTTATTATTTAAACACAAAACCAATTTATTAACAAAGTGTTTATTACAGTTTCTATTTTAATTTTATGACATTAAGACAAACTTATTCAACGTTAAATTAAATTAATATGTTGATTGAATATATGATTTAGCATCATACTAGAATAATATTTGCTGTAAAATGATAAATATTAAATACAACTTCAGAAACACTGAATTTGTGTAAGGTCAATAACAGCCACAATTCTGGATAAAATGCTATTACATAGTTCAGTTAATTCGTGGGAATTAGAGGGTTAACCTTAAGAAACTATTTGAGAAGGTTGAGGGAGAAGTGGTATCCCCGACGATTTAATCATTTTTATCCCATACTTGGACGTGTTTCAGGTACCGGGTGACACAAAAAATGCCATTCTAATTTTGGTATAACTTTCTAAAGTAATGAAGGAATCTTTGTGATTGTTTGTGCAGATATAGTATTCAAGGGAAAAAAGATTGATGTACTTGGATAGCATCGACGACTTTTGAGATTTTGGAGATATCATGTTTCCGTCCAGGTGTGCACTCGGTGAAACGTCAAAAATGTCCAAAAACACAATTTTCTGAAATTCGAATTTCTGTCTCAGCCATTATTTGAGTCATTTCTGGATTGCTTTCACTAACTTACACATATATTATAAATGATATGTCATATCTGCACATTTTCTTAAATAATTTCGTTAAAATGACTCGCCTAGTGGGTTAAAATTTACGTTTTTGAGTGAAAATGTTAAATGGGTTGGTATTGAAATGCGATAGTATGAGCGATCCATTGTTTTTTTAGCATAATTCTGGTCATCGAAAATTGATATCTTCAAAACTAGACTTTCAATACCATTCTACTTTTTAAGAAGTTTTAGACCCCTTGCTGGATAATATTTTCACGCAATTAAAGTCTGCAAAGGAAGATCTTCTTTAAAGTAAATAGAACATTTTGAAAAATATGTTGATCTTGGGTCCCTATTCATAATTTTTCGAATTATTCGATTGATATTTTTATTAACAATGATAAATTACTTGAAAGATAGCATATTGTGTAAATGTGAAATGTCATATTAAATTGAGAAAGTACTCATGGTAAAATATATGACCGTCTAAAATCACTTTCCATACTATATGTCAGGTCCTTCCATTTGCCTTAAACTCATTTTGTGTGTAATTTACAATAATGCAAATATTTCGTTCAGCCGATGACGAATGTGAATCATGGTCACGTGATGGATAAAATATAGTTAGTGTCGATTGGTGTACATAATAATGACTTTGTTTATAACTAACTGATGCATCGCGTGTGTAAATAAAATAACGAAATAATTTATTGCTCAATAAAATAATTATTGCTATAGTTTATACAACATGTATACTTTGTATAGATGTTTTCAATGCCATAGCATTTAATGCTGGCAACCTGCAGCATGAATTCAATGTTCGCCACAGTTTTTCTGCTCCTGGGATTCTGCCTGGTCGCATCAACCGGAACTGGTAATGCCAAAGGTAAGGGTAAAGGCAAAAATACTACTCCCACTACTACTACCACGACTGAGAGTGACTACGATTACTTTTTGATCAATTGGCGTGATCCCCTTATAAAAAACTCACTGTCGTGCGAACTCGGAAATGCTGTGGCTAAGGCGAGATCATTACCAACCGATGGACCTTTTCAAAACCTTTCAACATTGATAACTGCTACTGAAGGTATTTATAAAACATTGACGAATTTGATTGGAAAAAATGGTACGCTGGTGTCCAATATAACAAAACCGATGAGACGCAATCTCAGAATACTGACGGGAAATGTAAAGGATATCTTCCAGAAATACAAGGGAGTTTTGAACGACGTCGATTTGATTAAACGCATTTTGAAAACATCTCGACACTACATTATGACACCATATTCCGGTTATGGCAACGTTGGTGCTTACCTGAACGAAATAGATGCGTTATTTAGTAAAAGCACCAAATGGTGGAACGTGTATAAATCAATAGACAACCTTTACAATTTGGGGAAAACATTGAAGTTGAACTTATCAGCAAGAAGCTCAATAGATCACCAAAAAGCAAAATCAAAAATGAATAAACTTCACAACAAAATTGCTAGCCTTAAGATTATTGTTATGGACATAATCAGTAATCTGACCAAATCGAAGAAAAACGCCGAGACGTTTCTGAATGATCATGGCAAGGAGTTTGTTTGTAAAGGCTGCCTTGATTCTAACGACTCCTATTGCCTCAGTGGAATATGTAGACCTGGCCATTTTGGATACGCGTGTCAGTTAGAAAATGATGGTGAGTTAGAATATACTCGATTACCAGTTTGATTTTCAATCAATGAAAACTTCATACCATACTAATCCAAAATGGAGTTAGAATAGCATCGTTATCCTCTTGAATGACAAAATACATTTTAGCTTTACTGGACTAAAGTTGTTTCATTTAGTATGTAATTGAAATGCATTATGTTGTCCACAAACACTGGTGAGATATACCCTATTATTATATCACTATCTAGCTAGCGACAGTATGATTGGTCAAAACCGGGTCACATGTCGTGGGATATCTGGCGATATTCAATGGCAATGCTAATCAGATAAGACAACCGTGAGATATCTAGCGATATCCCACGCTCCCGGGAATTTTCAAAGAATTTGTTTTCTTTCAGTGTAAATAATTTAGTTCAGTCTAAGTCAAAATGCAGACGAACCGAGTAGATTCAATATATTTCAATGTGAACCTATGACTTAATAATATTAGCGATGTTTAGCTAGACAGTGATATAATAAAACAAATATTTCACTCTATTGAGGTGAATACCTGTACATCTTTCACAAGTGATATTCCACGAAGCCCGAAGGGCAAGTGGAATATCACCTTGTGAAAGTGCTACAGGTATTCACCGAAAATATATGATATAATAAAACAAATATTTCACTCTATTTTCGGTGAATACCTGTAGCACTTTCACAAGGTGATATTCCACTTGCCCTTCGGGCTTCGTGGAATATCACTTGTGAAAGATGTACAGGTATTCACCTCAATAGAGTGAAATATTTGTTCAATACTGTCTTTATATCCAGGGGAGAAATACCCTAATACTGTCTTTATATCCGTGAGAAATACCCTAATACTGTCTTTATATCCAGGTGAGAAATACCCTAATACTGTCTTTATATCCAGGTGAGAAATACCCTAATACTGTCTTTATATCCAGGTGAGAAATACCCTAATACTGTCTTTATATCCAGGTGAGAAATACCCTAATACTGTCTTTATATCCAGGTGAGAAATACCCTAATACTGTCTTTATATCCAGGTGAGAAATACCCTAATACTGTCTTTATATCCAGGTGAGAAATACCCTAATACTGTCTTTATATCCAGGTGAGAAATACCATAATACTGTCTTTATATCCAGGTGAGAAATACCCTAATACTGTCTTTATATCCAGGTGAGAAACACCCTAATACTGTCTCTATATCCAGGTGAGAAATACCCTAATACTGTCTTTATATCCAGGTTAGAAATACCCTAATACTGTCTTTATATCCAGGTGAGAAATACCCTAATACTGTCTTTATATCCAGGTGAGAAATACCCTAATGCTGTCTTTATATCCAGGTGAGAAATACCCTAATACTGTCTTTATATCCAGGTGAGAAATACCCTAATACTGTCTTTATATCCAGGTGAGAAACACCCTAATACTGTCTCTATATCCAGGTGAGAAATACCCTAATACTGTCTTTATATCCAGGTGAGAAATACCCTAATACTGTCTTTATATCCAGGTGAGAAATACCCTAATACTGTCTTTATATCCAGGTGAGAAACACCCTAATACTGTCTTTATATCCAGGTGAGAAATACCCTAATACCGTCTTTATATCCAGGTGAGAAATACCATAATACTGTCTTTATATCCAGGTGAGAAATACCCTAATACTGTCTTTATATCCAGGTGAGAAATACCCTAATACTGTCTTTATATCCAGGTGAGAAACACCCTAATACTGTCTTTATATCCAGGTGAGAAATACCCTAATACTGTCTTTATATCCAGGTGAGAAATACCCTAATACTGTCTTTATATCCAGGTGAGAAATACCCTAATACTGTCTTTATATCCAGGTGAGAAATACCCTAATACTGTCTTTATATCCAGGTGAGAAATACCCTAATACTGTCTTTATATCCAGGTGAGAAATACCCTAATACTGTCTTTATATCCAGGTGAGAAATACCCTAATACTGTCTTTATATCCAGGTGAGAAATACCCTAATACTGTCTTTATATCCAGGTGAGAAATACCCTAATACTGTCTTTATATCCAGTATTTCAGATAAATCAACTATGAAATACAGACCCAGAACTTTACCCTGAAGTGGCATTGTGTCTCCTATTGTGCACATATGGACAGACACACAAGTATTTATGTTAATCTATTTTTGTACACCGTGTAGAATTTGGACGATGCACTAGGCTTGGGGAAGGGAATGTGACGACGTATAACGGCTATGTATACACCCCCAACGAGATCGACACAAATGAATTGACCTTCTACCCTGGAGGGACATTCCTTTCTTTTAGTATAAGTGATATTGCCTTTGTTGATGCCGTTGCGGCAATTACAGTTACTCTTATGGAAGAGGAGTACACTCTAATGGCGAACGGGACACTTAATGTAAGAAACCTCACGATTGTATTGCTATTAATTTGTATTTTCATTCTGAATTTAAGACAAAAGGCGGCAGGCAGTTTGATTTTGAAATTTGTAATTACAAAATGGAAATCAAAATATTTTATAAGCTGTATAGTATATAAAGATATAAAAGAAAACATAATACTTAAAAAATTGAAAAATGAAAATTATTTTTGAACAAAAGAATTTTAAAAAATGAATTTAAATAAAAAAATAAAATTAAGAAAATGCATTTTTTTAAATTTACCCGGGATAATGTCAGTATCATCCCTGATATCATCCCTCTAATCCTGATATCATCCCTGATATCATCCTTGTCCTAAATATGTGATTTATCACTTGCTATTATATACCTGATATTGCTCTGCCCATGGTATAAGTATAGGTTATTTACTGGTAGGGATTGAATATGGGTTTTATTCGGAGGGACAATATGATATTAACCGAAGGATGATATGATATTGACCGAGGAAGCGCAGCGCCAGAGTGTCAATATCATATTGCCCAAGGTCAATATCATATTTCCGAGGAATAAAACCCATATTCAATCCCGACCAGAAATAACCTATTTATTCCATAAAACATCCCTCTAAAATGTTACATTTGGATAATGCAAGCATTATATTAATAAATGCACATAGTTTGAAAAATAAAAATAAATTAATAAAATAACCGGGAAACCAAAAATAGGTTAATACGCTCCAATACGATTTTTCCCGGGGACAATACGATTTTTTCATGTAATACGCTCCAATACGATTTTTATCCCGGGGACAATACGATTTTTTCACGTAATACGATTCAATACGATTTTTATTCCTTCATATTTCCCTTGGAAAACAGTAGTATTATGGAATAATATATTATATCATATTATATTACATTATATCATGTCATATCAATAATATTGTGTTTTATTTAAGGAATAAAGACCGAGATTTCATGATTTATTGCACAATATATGACCGAAAATGTTATTTTGTTCATTGTTAAAAGGCCGAAATCGCGTAGCGATTGAAGTCTTTGGCAATGGCCAGGGTAAAAATTGAGGTCATATATTTGACATAAATCATAAAATCGAGGTCTTTGTTACGATTCGAATATGATAATAAACAGACAAGAAACACAACTTTTTGCATTTGCAAATTTTAGCGTCATACAAACTCCAAGATAGACCAGTAAAATCAATTGTTCTAGCTATTGTGACGTCTCGTATGGTATCATATTAGAATATATTATATTATATTATAAATAGAATCGGCGGCGAAAACACCCGCGACCCCCGCCGCGACCTAATCCTACTTGAATTCGTTTTATCTAGGTAAATGGTAGGCCTGGTCCCCTCCCTTTGACCAAGACCTATAGAACACCCCAGTCACCTATCAACGGCAAAGTGGCAATTCAACAGGATGGACATACGCTAGTTCTGCAGTCAAGCATACACCAACTAACTGTGGAATTTTCCACTGATGGGAGCGATGACGTCAGCGTGTCGTTGAGTGTATATTGGGAGACACTGGTGTCGGGGAAGTGTGGCAATTTTGATAGAACTACTAATCTAGATTAAATGCAGCCGGATAATTCTATAACTTAGCTTATAATTATATGACATACCTCAGATATATTCTATATAAATGCTGGTGTCTCTCAAGGCTCGTTTTGTTGCTTCGTTTAAAAATATTAAAATATTAAAATCTTCAGAATTAGGATTTGATGCCTGGGTCACATTTGCTCTGACTCATCGAGTGGCGCCCTGATTTTGTTCAAAATTGTATTCAGTTTTGAACAAAATAGTCAATCGGCCGGGCGCAGGCCAATGAATTGGAGCAAATGTAACTCAGGCATTATGCAGCCAAAGTTTGATTAAAATGTTAACTCGTCCCTCATAACAATGATGAAAGATCAGACGTTTCCTTTAGATTTGCTCGTAGATGTTATGTATTGAATTTTATCCTATGCCAAGTAGAGTTTTAGGGAGATAAGTTGGTAAGATATATCCCGTATCCTGATTTGGGGGTTTCCATATCCAGAACCTCCATATCTCCCGCTTCGGTGCATATCTTCCCGCTTCAGTGCATATCTTCCCGCTTCCGGTAAGTAGTAGAAATGCAATAAAATGACTTTGCATATGAATGATATGTTTATTTTTACACCTTGTACTAATTGAAATGGCCATATGCCCCTGAAAACTCTACTTGGTATAGGATAAAGCAGTTATGTACGGGTCGGTTTGGATATTGGGTTCATCCCTCGTGAGATATGCACATCTACCTTCGGTCCCTACGGTCCCTCAGGTAGATATGCATATCTCCCTCTGGATAAACCCCATATCCAAAACCTCCCAGTACATAACCCTTATGTATCGTATATTTGTTGCCTCATTTATATGAGAGAATACATTTTAGTATAAATATAATTTACTCGTACATATAAAATATAATATACAAGGATAAGATTTTAATTATGTGATAATAAGTTATCATTTTTAAGATTCGAGTTCCTTTTGGGGCATAGGGCTACCTTCAAATAAAAATATTTAATTGGGATATATACATTTGTCGTTTTCAACCCCCTGCCTCATCGCATAGATTTTTACAACGTAAAAGCATAGCAACACTATAAAAAGACAAATGAATCTATTTACTTTCAAACTATAAACCAAGACCTTGGTATAGCAATAAACGTTTGTGTTGATCTAGGTTGACATAATAGGATGTAATGTCTATATTTGGAAGGAAAGTAAGTACAAAATAACAACGAGAGGTCATAGTCCTTTCTAAACCTACCACCTTTTGCTATACAAGGCATTAACATTAATGTCACCACCTGTCATTTGTTACGACCGTCGAACACCGTCGGAGACTAGAACAATATGCCACCAGTTGTGGTGAAAAACACACTGGTTTTAAAATACATACATTGGTAGCGCAATAGGAAGGTATATTTGCTCAGAGTTATGAACTGTGTGAAAGTACTGGGTCGATAGAAAGATGACAATGTTGTTTGTAGCACTAGTTAGGCCTGGGTCACATTTGCTCCGATTCATCGGCCGGTGCCCGACCGCTTGGGTAGTTTTTTCAAAATTAAGGGTCAAATCTCAAATTAGAGGTCAGGTGTGAACTCCCGAGAACTTGTACATGATGTTAAGTTTGCTCAATTTGAGGCAAATTGAAATCAGTTTTCAACAAAATACTGCAATCAGCCGGGTGCCGGCCGATGATGACCTAGGCATTACAACGTGGATGCGAAAGATGTAAGGATTTTGAAATCTCCTGAAAGCCCATGATGCCGTGGTCACATATGCTCTAATTTTCAGTGACGGTGCCCGGCCAATGAGTATTTTGTTCAAAATTGCATTCAAATTTGAACAAAATAATCGTCGCCCGGGCGCACCGGTGTTGAAGATCGAAGCGAATGTGACCAGGGCATAATTAAAAGTGTACATAAATTACATTTAATGAGAGATTATGACGTTGCAGGGTCCTTTCTTGAAGGAATAATTCCACTAGGACTAGTGCGAAAATGTCCTTTTTATGTTTTGGCATAAAGTTTGGACGACGTCATTTAAAGACAAAGATCCACTTTCACGTGTACTATCTCTCACGGCAATGAGTACCAGTGCAAAGATCTTGTTCCGTGATAAAGAAAAGCTATCAAACATTGTCTGAAGAGCAAATCAGCTCTGCAATTCTGTATTTTTTTTGTAGTTTTACTGTGGCCACGTTTAGCAAAATCTGTTGGAGCGGAACAACTTTGATAATTAAAGTAGCTCAAAATCACGGGGAATTAAACATCAGCTAGATTTTTTATATGCGATAGCACTGAACGAGTTGATCTGCGATTGTCTGTTTGAATGTAATCTTGACTACGCTGCCATCTATTTAAAGTCTGTGAAATTGATAAAACAATATTATACTTTTAACATTTTACAGTTCTCTTGGAACGTACTGCAAATCAAATGACTTTTTCGATCAATATCATGAAACATATGCTTTAACTGACAATATAATGTAATTTTAATGGAATATTTTAACGTTAAGTTACCTCGACCTAAGGCATAATGATAGTCCTATTAATTATGGACTTAAATATATTATAAGTCGTGTGGTCTTTAAAATTCATTTTGCGAAACATGGTTGGTATATGATAGTTTGGTTTTTCTTATTTGTTCTGAACTAAAAACATGTTAATAAAATGAGCTCAGTTCTTCCTACATTGCCATTCTTGGCATTTGACTGAATATAACTGAAAATGATATCCGAAATATAACACCATAATCCATAACTTAAGTCCTTTAATTGTATACACTTGCTTCAATTAATAAATTACAAAACATTATTGAAAATAATAGTAAATTTATTATGAAAATAGAATATTCAATTCTCAAACAATCATTAAAGTATTAATAATGATATGTAAATCTAATCGCACTAGTTTATAACTATAATTTCAACGAATATCAATATTTCCATGCAGCTGTTTATGGAATAGTTATTCCATCGACACGTTTAGTAACTTGTTCAAAATTGCATTCAGCCGCACGCCGGTACTGAAAATCTGAGTGACCACGACTTAAGGAATAACGATTACTTATCATTGTTATCTTTGATTGTCCCAATTATCTATCATTCGATTATAATTATTGACTAGTGTTTTGTCATAAGTAAAGTGCGTTAGTTCCAAACCAAAGAGTCTCTTAGTTCCATTATCGAGTGCAACTGCGGGCTGTCGGATTAACCTACTATTTTATTATACAAACTCATACAGATATGTATAGTCCCTACTACTATTCAAATTTCTTATTCATATTTAAATGAGTTTGTCATTAAAAAAAGAGGTTAATCCGCCAACCGACAACTGAATTCGTGGATGCTACCTAAATAGATGTAAAGTCCACTTTGCCTCATTTCTGAACGGTGTTTGATACAAAGTACCTAAATCTAGTTAACGTCACTGCATAGTTTAGTATAATTTACAGTCACACACTATGTACATTTGAGTCCATGTCAGGTTCATGGACCATTGGAAGGAGTTGGAATTATTAATGGTTCACTTTCCCAGAGTGTTCAATATTGGGAATGTTTTACACAGATGAGTTTAGAACTCGATAATTGCAATTGTTGTGAATTTTCTTGGAACAGATTTCTTCAATTTACAGTCGGATTCTAAAGGCATTAATGAAATCGGGTGCCTTGGAGATCACGTGTTCGAATTCAGCGAAGGATAACGAAGCATCATCATCAAGATCGGCTTCTTCAAAAATGTTATCAATGAGCTGTTGCATGTCTTCATCTGACAGTCTCTGATCCCCTGTAAGTCTGTCAATCACTTCCTTAAGATCTCTGCTTGAGATCATATCATCCTCGTCGAAGTCATAGATGCGGAATGCGTATTCGACCTTGACATTCTTTGGTGCTGCGTCGCTGAAAACTGACATCATGTCGAGGAAATCTTCAAAGGTCAAATCACCGTCGCCGCTCGATGAAAATACTTTGCAGATTCGATCCCTGAATGGGTTGACTTTCAACTCAGGGAGCTCAAGTATTGTTTCTATAGGAAGAGTAGCATTTTTGTCAGACGTTACAGCATTTGTGTCCAGGAGCTTGAAGCGTTTGTGGACGTGTAGGATCTCCTTCTTTGTAAAATACGTGAGCTCTTGATAATCCTCGAGCTCTTGCTCAGTGAAAGCACTCTGAGAACTACCCATAGTTACAGTGTATGCTTATGATTTGGAAATCAACAGTAAAATGTCAATTCATATAGCTAGAATGTCCTGAACCTTGAGAGTTATTTCACTTGGTATATTATAGTCTCTGTCTCAGTTCCGAATTCTACACATATCAACCCAGAACACAACCGACTCCCTTAGACTCGTATAATAGTCCAGTACAAATACGTTGATTCAACCTCTAGTACCTGAGTACAGTTCGTGTATAAACAGTGGTGATTCACATAACACAGTTCGTCCAACGTACTAACAACTCCCTACTTCTATCTAAACGATGTCCTCTACAGCAATCTAGTTATACTACACTCCCAGCTAACACAGTCTAAACATACTAGCCCCGATTACCATGTATCCAATCTCTATTCCAACGATCGACTAAAGTTCGATATCAAAATGGCCGACTCTTATTTACACCAATACTTAGTAATTTCTCTTCCGCTTTAGTTCAATATAAGCACAGCACTCTGATAAATACAAAGCGACCGCTTATAATACCTGAATATTGATATTGATCGTGACTGTGGTATTGGTTTATACCTACGTCATTAGCGACTCGGCTGTATGCTATTTATAGTTACAAGTAACAGGCTGCCCGCCGTGGTTATATTTAAGCGTTCGCATTGTGTATGGAATAGGAATATAATGGTAGATGCACAATAAGATAACTTTTATGTAATTTTCACGAATAACATTGACAAACAATTCATGAAAAATGTGACATTTTTCACATTTATTGGCACGTTTTATAGTATAAACACATACAGTGATGGACATAATATTTTTTAATCTCTTAACTTTTAAATCCCGCTTTAATTTTTACGAACTTACGCTATTGTAAAAACTAATTCAAGACAAAATGATCTAGCCCATGGAGTTTTTAAATATCTGTGTGAACGGATATGAACGCTATTTTAGAAACAAAATCATATGGATTTATTTCAATATCAAAAAGGTCCCTCACCTTTGATGGAGTTATTTCGTCATTGTTATCAGGTTGTTAATTAATATATAAATAATTTAGTTAATTATTGATCATCTTTCGATTTCATTAATTCAATTAGTAAACACTTGTACTGTGTGGGTGTGGACTATATACGGAGACTATAAAGATACTTGAGACGATACAATTGATCACTGAATACACTCAAATTCCGTGATTATATAAACATAAGTGGAATAACAGTGTTGATATAATCATTGATATTATTTAAACAATGTATAGAATAATATATAGATAATAATGTATGAATAATGTGTTCCAGCAATTGTTCATTCACAAGTTGCGCAACATTATCACAAATCCATCCATCCAGGGCATTTTCTTCAACGTTTTCAAAGTTGGGAACAAAATTGTTGCATCGGACGGTGATAACCATCAATGCTATAACTGCACATATTCTTATGAATAACATATACAATTTTATATATTCTCTTAAATTGTACACCTTACTCAATTTATTACACTATAATGTTTTCTGACCCGAACATCTTTTTCAAAGGGAGCATTTCAAAAGATCGATGTCGGAATATTAATTGTATTTGAACAGAAATGGGGCGTCATTAGCCTTAACATCATTTCTGTTTTTTTATAAGTGAAATTGTGTTGGATATAAACTCAGGATTCTAAAGTGAGATACAAAAGATGATTTTATGCTGATACTGTAAGAAATACCCATTGGAATAATATAAAAAATGACTGTATTTCATATTGTGTTAGATATACGTGTTGCTTCAAGCAATGACGCACATCGACATTTCTCAAACGCAGTTATGAGGGGGGTTCACAGATTAACTGTTCAAAAACAATTGGTAATCCTACATTAGACTTTTGAGATGCTCCCTAAACTGACTCCAATTGATATTGGTTCTGTCACTGGGTAGCCTATATGGGGCGAGACTGAACGTTTTCCATTTTGCTCACACAGTGAGCCTATGGGATCGCTTAGGCGTCCGTCAGTTGGTCCGTCCGTCATTTATCTTTTGATGTCACAATGTGGTGACCTGAAAATATTTACATATATTTCCATCATGACATTGGAAGTATTATTGAAAGCTAGAATTGCAGGCTCATTTTATTGATTAAAAATAAATATCTATTATCCGCTTTTAAGTCAGACGTAAAAAACAATATGCTTGTTAAAGCGTGATGGAACCAGCTAATAATAGATAAGGACTTTGGATCTTTTGAGATGTCACATTACACATAATTAGGACTCATATGTCGCGTTACACATAATTAGGACTCATATGTCACGTTACACATAATTGGGACTCATATGTCAGATCACACTTATAATTAAGACACATAGGTCACATTACACATATAATTAGGACTCATATGTCACGTTACACATAATTGGGACTCATATATCACATTACACATATAATTAGGACTCATATGTCACGTTACACATAATTGGGACTCATAGGTCACATTGCACATAATTAGGACTCATATGTCACGTTACACATAATTGGGACTCATATGTCAGATCACACTTATAATTAAGACTCAGAGGTCACCTTGCACATAATTTGGACTCATATATCACATTACACATATAATCAGGACTCATATGTCACGTTACACATAATTGGGACTCATAGGTCACATTGCACATAATTGGGACTCATCTATCACATTACACATAGAATTAGGACTCCTATGTCACGTTATAATTAGGAATCATATGTCACGTTACACATACTTAGGACTCATATGTCACGTTACACATAATTAGGACTCATATGTCACATTGCACATAATTAGGACTCATATGTAACGTTATAATTAGGACTCATATGTCACGTTACACATACTTAGGACTCATATGTCACATTACACATACTTAGGACTCATATGTCACGTTATAATTAGGACTCATATGCCATGGTACACATACTTAGGACTCATATGTCAAATTACACGTAATTAGGACTCATATGTCACATTACACATACTTAGGATTCATATGTCACATTACACATAATTAGGACTCATATGTCACGTTGTATTCATATGTCACGTTACACATACTTAGGACTCAAATGTCACATTACACATATAATTAGGGCTCATATGTCACGTTATATATAAATAAGACTCATATATAAATAAGACTCATATGTCACGCTATGCCACGTTACACATACTTAGGACTCATAGCTAGGGTCACATTGCACATAATAGGACTCATAGGTCACGGTACACATACTTAGGACTCATATGTCACGTTATATATAATTAAGACTCATATGTCACGTTATAATAGGACTCATATGTCACATTACAGATTATTAGGACTCATATGGCACATTACACTCATGTTTTATGGTAAGTATGGATTACTCCGATAAGGATGGGTTCTATTATTGGTAGATATCTTTCCATGATAGGATTAACTTAAAATTAAAGAAAAGGGTTGTACACTTGGTTGTAGGTTTTTGCTCTGGGGGTGTTTTGTAACTAAATATTTTTCTCTAAGAGAACGTCTACTCAGTTAGAAGTCAATACCACCTCACTTAGACACATTACCACCAGAAAACGAGAGTAGCTCTCATAATCATTTGGTATAACTTTGTATCAAGGGATTCCCTTTCCTTAGTATTCCCTACATGTTCCTTCAAGCCTTATCGGATCTATCACTTGGATACAACGTGAACCAATACCAAATCTGAAATCTCCCCACCCCTTCACTACCACATGGAATCAGCGACCGTTCCCGTCCTACAGTGAACAGTGAGATTCATTCAGAAAATTAAAACATATACTATTTGTATCTTATAAAGGTCAAGTTCGGTTGCTAAGGCCATATCCATGGCACATATCCGAATGGATTCTTGGCACAGAAATAAAACAGTACATGTACATTATTGAAATGATGAGAAACATATGTGTTAGAAATAGGATCATCTTCTAGAGAGCTGTGTATATTCAGATTGGATTTTATGTTAACTTCCCCTATTGCAGGTTTTAGAACAGCCCGATGATCAAAACAATCCGGTTTGTGTGTCTTAGTGACCTTAAAAAAGTGTTTTCTGTTAACACTTTCTAATTCACTGAAAACGGGAAGTAGTAGTTTCATTTGCGAGAATTTATGAAAGTAAAGCTAGTGAAGTATTACAAGTACACTGTACATGTAGAGTAAAGCACTGTTTGATATAGAAGGAATATGTGAAGATGGGGAATAGTCTTCAGCAATGGCGCTCTGCAATAGGGACATTAAGCCAACCGACATCATGTACTAGTCCAACGTTTAAATTTACAAGATGTTGGACAACAAACCACCCATCTGGTACATTGACAAACATGTCCACAACTAAATCCAAGAGCCTGAGTGGAAGCCGGACAACTGAACACAAGCACCAAGAGGAAGTGGACAATTTTGACCATGAGCCACCCACCGAGAAGTCAGTGTGGAAGCGGGGATGGATAAAGAGGTTAACAATGCGAGAGATTTGGTTGAAGATGGCGCCTACCCTTCTTGTTATCTTACTCATCGCGTTGATGATTGGTGGGGTTGAAGTAAATCCCGGTCCGAGGCCAGGTAATTAACCGTTGCTAATATTTTTGCATCACCTTAATCCTGGTAATTACCTCTTTTATATTTTGGCACCATGCACCCACCCCCTACTCATATTCGTAAAAATAATATTTTCGTCCATTATGAACACACACAATACATTTTCACGTGTATTTTGAAGAGCAATGATAAATCTGCGACCTATGTTTTTGATTTCTTGATTTTTTATAGTTAAACTATCAAGTGTATATAAAACATGGGGATTACAATGTTACAATGTATTGGGGGGGGGGTGCATACATATGAAGCATCAAAAAGCTGTATCATATATCTCTTACCTTTAGGTTGTGCCATACTTAGATATAGTTAGATTCATGGCATATTCTTAAAATGTTTTGCGGCAATAAAAACATCTATATAATATGTATATGCCGAAAATAATTTGAGATTATGTTTACAGGTAATTCATCAGAAACCGATGCCTGTCAAGATTACCTCCAAATTGATGAAAATGCTGCCCAAGTGAACAAGCCACATTCTGCTGGTGAGTCTGCTTTGTTTGTTTCTATTTTGAAACCTAGAATTATCAAGAATTACTAAATTAACTTAATTAATCAATCCAATAAATTAAAATTAAATTTTATTACTATTTACCTCGAAGTTAATCCTTGTTTTTTCATGTAACTCGGGAATGTAACTAAAGTATACCATTAATTGATAAAACTTTACTAGACAATATTTGGAATAGATAATTAATGGAATAGAATAGGTTGAATATTGATGTGTTTCTTTTGTTAGTTTGATTTGAACTATGTATTTACTATAAAGGTTTACTATTACTCGTTTCTTCTACATTAGTTCTTGTAGTTGCCTTATTCAATGTACCATCAAACGTAACCAGATAAACCTTTTCTTAGGGATTGTTTGAATGAAATTGGTAAAATAGTATTGTACACTGTGAATTATCAAATATGTTTCAGAGGCTACACAAGGTATGTACGAAATTGGACGAGAACTCTGTAGAAAGGATTGGAAAACTAGAGACATGGACGAAACAGAGCTGAGTAAACAGATTGATTTGTTTCGCCAACTAGCTGTTGAGTACAAAAAATTATTTGAAGAACCGCAACATATTGAGGGCTGGTATTTCGTTCGATCTGCAGGTCTTCTAAATGCAGCTTTGAATTGTATTAAGAGACTAAAGACACTTCAGGGAGATTCCTTGATTGGGATAGAGAATGACTGTACTGAAATGTTGCAGGAATTGGAAACGACGTTTTTGAAGAGGGTTAACAAGCACATCGAAATCCCAACCAAAAAGTTGACACAAAAGTATCAAGAGGAACTGAAGCAGTTGAGACAATTTTCTGATTGTACGATCAATTCAATTGTCAAAGATGACATGAAAATCGATTTAGAAACAGTTGAAATGACAGTAGCAGACGAGAGGCGAACAATACAAAACAGCAAGGCATTTTATAATGAGCTCACCAACAAACTTGTGAGTTTTTATGGGTTACTTATAGATGATTGTCTGAATGTTTTGGGTACACCGAATTGTAGTTTCTGTTTTGTAGGTCTGGGATCTTTGGCAAGACAAGAAGCAACAGCATATTCGGATCTAGAGTCTGCAATCATATTTGATGACACTGGTAAGTCGGACGAGGAAATAGACCAGCTAAAGGTAGAATTTAGGCTCATCGTGCATTATTTGCACTTTAAGATACTCAACCTCGGGGAGACTGTCATTCCAAGTTTAAGTATTCCAGTGTTGAACGACTTTAACAAGGAATTGACAGGAGAATTCAAAGAAAACAAATTCTTTGATTCAATTTCTCCCCAAGGATTGTGTTTTGATGGTGCCATGCCATGGGCGAGTAAAACCCCGATTGGCCGTAGCACTACAGAAAATAAACCTGCAAGAGAGCTGATTATGACCCCAGACGAGATGTCTGAATGCCAAAAGGAAGATGTTTGTTTGAAAGAAGGCTATCACTTGAGTGACGTTCTCATGACAACCAGGCTGGTATATGGAGACGGCGATGTACACGATAGATACAAATCGAAACTCAGAGACATCTTGAAATCAGATTCGAAGCAATGTCCAGGCATTACCATAGGGGGTGTCAGGGCAACCGAAACATTAAAAGAGGATTTGGATAAATATGTAAGGAATCCTCTTTCACCAGAAACACTGAGTAAGCAAGTACATGTCAAAAAGGACATATACAGGTTTGCGACGATGTCTGTAAATTCACTAAAGCTAAAATATGGCTGCGTCGCCCAATCCCCTCTTAATGTTTTAGAGGAATTATACGATAGGAGTCTATTGACTGAGAGGGCCAAGATAGACCTTCAGGTAATGGTCTGCTCTTGTATTAATCTCCGGCATTTGACTTACAACAAATATAAAAGACAAAAAGAGTTCATATCATTCGTTTCAAGACCCCCTGAGGCTGAACAAGAACGCCCAATAGATTCAAGAGAATCGCTATCTGTTCGGGATTTCAGTGCAATTTACCGATTTTTTCTAACATTCCTACCCTGGGTAAATTTCTTAAAAGCGGCAATTGAGAGCAAGATTAAAAATTGGAAGTATTTACCCAGGTATATAGAAAGCAGTGAACGAATAAAAGGAATGCTGCATAAAGAAATGAACTTTTTTGAAAATGCTTTATTGGCTTTCAAGAAAGAAGAGACACAAATTATGAACTCAGTTCATGAGACCAACAAAGAGCAACTTGTTGAAATCCAGGCAAGCATAGGTTCGCTTTATAAAACAAACTCCATGTATGAAGATGCCCTGAAGTACTACAATAAAGCACTTGACTTGGAGATGGCTATACATAATGACCAATACCATGCACATATTGCATCATTACTGGACAATATAGGCGAAATATACTGGTCACTAGCAGAATACAAAAACGCCCAAAAATATCATAAACTCGCTCTGAAAATGTTTAAAATATTGTGCAAGTCGGATACATTTGATAACAACGTCGCAAAGTCTTTAATGCATTTGGGTTGGGTTCATATGTGGTTATCTGAATACACTGTTGCATTGTCATATTTAACTGAAAGTAGGGACATTTTTGAACGTATCAATGGTAATAATCCAGATCGTGACTTTGCAAAGCTGTTCGAAGGTCTTGGACTTGTATCAAGTTATAAATCTGACTTTACTCAAGCGCTATCATATCATTATGAAAGTTGTTCAATGAGAAAGAAGATCTGGATTGATGTCCCACATGCTGATATTGCCATGTCTTTGAGTAACATTGCTGTTGTGTATTCTAAGCAAGGTGACCTTACCAATGCCCTGTCTTACCATACTAATGCTCTTGCAATGTGGAGGCAGGTCTACGGGGACAAGCCTCATGCTAGTATTGCCACATCAATGAGTAATATCGGCGCTGTGTATTCCCACAAAGGTGATCTCACCAATGCTCTGTCTTACCACAGTGAAGCTCTTATGATGAGGAGAGAGGTCTATGGAGACAAGCCTCATGCTAGTATTGCCAATTCAATGAACAACATTGGTAGGGTTCATTATAAACAAGGTGATCTCATCAATGCACTTTCTTACCATACTGAAGCTCTCATGATGAAGAGACAAGTCTATGGAGACAAACCTCATGCTAGTATTGCCATTTCAATGAATAACATTGGTGGAGTATATTGTAAACTAGGTGATCTCACAAATGCCCTGTCTTACCATATTGATGCTTTAACAATGAAGAGCCATGTCTACGGAGACAAGCCTCATGCCAGTATTGCCACATCAATGAATAGTATTGGTGATGTATATTATCAGCTAAGCGACCTCACCAATGCCCTGTCTTACCACATTGGTGCTCTTACAATGAGGAGACAGGTCCACGGGGACAAGCCTCATGCTGATATTGCCAACTCATTAAACCAAATTGCTGCTGTGTATTCTCAGCAGGGTGACCTCACCAAAGCCCTGTCTTACCATAATGATGCTCTTGCAATGTGGAGACAGGTCTATGGAGACAAACCTCATGCTGATATTGCCACATCATTGTACAACATTGGTAGTGTGTACTATGAGCAAGGTGACACAAACACGTCCTTGCAATACTACACCGACGCCCTGACATTGTTCAGACAAGTTTATAATGATAAGCCTAATGACAATATCACTTTAACATTGGACAACATCGCAAATGCATATCGCGAACAAGGTGACATGACCAACTATAAAAAGTATTCCAATAAGAGTGAGGACATGAAGAAGAAACTTAAGCAATGAATGAAGTGAGTACAGTTCTAGGCAATCAAGATTACATAGAAAGTATTCCAAGGAGAGAATGAAGATGGAGAAACTTAAGCAGTGAATGGAGTGAGTAGAAAACCAGGGAATTGAGATTACATAGAAAGTATTGCAAGGTGAGAGAAGATGGAGAAACTTAAGCAGTGAATGGAGTGAGTAGAAGACAAGACAATCAAGATTACATAGAACGTATTGCAAGGAGAGAGAAGATGGAGAAACTTAAGCAGTGAATGGAGTGAGTAGAATACCAGGGAATCAAGATTACATAGAAAGTATTCCAAGGAGAGAATGAAGATGGAGAAACTTAAGCAGTGAGTAGAATACCAGGGAATCGAGATTACATATAAAGTATTGCAAGGAGAAAGAGAAGATGGAGAAACTTACCCCCCATCACACCAAACTAGTTCTTACCCGTTCTTGCCAGTCCTACGAAAACGTCGTAAAATGGGCTTAATCTGGCTGTGGTCGGGAAATATGTCTAAAATAATTAGCTACTTCGTTCATAAACAGTCTTTAATACGTCCATCTCATTCGCAGTTCGTTCAGGTCGCACCACATCGGTGTACAACGTCGTTTAACGCGTCCCATGGTCTAGAAGGTCATCATGACTGATTACAGAACGCTATGGTCGCCATCGAATTCTGAATCGATTCAAAATTCTAAATCACATTCCCCATCCGGGAAAGTCCATGAAGTTCGTAAACAGACCGTAGAACGTTGTAGCTACGTTCATTCAGTTCGCACAGTTTAAAAACCGATTCGGCAACGTTTTGACGATCACCAGAAAATTTTGAGCATGCTCTAAGTACTGGAGGACCTACTCGTCCTAGTAATTTCATGAAGTTTGTAAACAGATCCCAAACGGTTCTTAGTGGGGTCTTAGTACGTCAAATCCGTTCGTGCACAGTTTAAGCTTGTTTTCGAGAACGTAGTGAGAACTAGTTTGGTGTGATAGTAGGGTTAAGCAATGAATGGAGTGAGTAGAACACAAGAGAATCAAGATTACATAGAAAGTACATGTATTGCATTGAGAGAATGAAGATGGAGAAACTTAAGCAGTGAATGGAATGAGTACAGTACTAGGGAATCAAGATTACATAGAAAGTATTCCAAGGAGAGAATGAAGATGGAGAAACTTAAGCAATGAATGGAATGAGTAGAGTACTAGGCAATCAAGATTACATAGAAAGTATTCCAAGGAGAGAATGAAGATGGAGAGACTTAAGCAGTGAATGCAGTGAGTAGAAAACTAGGGAATCAAGATTACATTGAAAGTATTCCAATGAGAGATGAAGCAGAAGATTAAACAAATAATTTTGGGGGAGGGCGTCTACCCTCATTTTCACTTGAAATAACAACTCTTCATCTTGCTTGGGTGGATAAGATTTATTGCAATATAATATTGTTTCATCATATAAAGATTCACGATTTCTTCAGGTCAACAAACAAAATGACACTTTTTTGTTTGTAAAGAGTATCTTGCACTATAACAGATAGAGAAAACAAACAAGTAAATACATTTCATAATTGTACAAAGTTTATTTGTATAGAATCATAAAAATTACAATACCTGTAAAATAATGTTATGATACAATGTATGAATATACTACAATTTATAATAATATGGTATGGGACATTACCGCTTTACGATAGTCCTGCACCAAGCCCCTGTTTTAACTCCCCTCATTCTCTCAAATGCAAGGATTGAGAAGGGGGAATTAGGGACTTAGTGCAAGACTTGTTAAAAAGTGTATTTACTATAAATGTAGCCTTTACCTTGAATTACTTGATCTAGTGACAAAGCACACATAATTTTGCTTTAATATGATCTAGTTCCACTTTAAGGGGTTGTTTCCAAATATCAGCAGGTATGGAGTTATGTCATTCATTTTGTTTTATCATTACCCTCAGCTATCACATCCCCTAAAACTTAATTTTAAAAATTACATTCTAGATTGATATTTTTCAAAATAAAATTCTCATTTACCCCCTCCCCAAAACTAAAAACAATATACATCCAAAGCAGTTGATATTTGGAATCAATTCCTGCTAAATTATCAACCATGTTCAACAATAATACAACCATGTTCAACAATAATACAACCATGTTCAACAATAATACACTCCACTCCATAAGTTTGGCAACAGGAAGTTTTTACTGGATAACATATCATGGCCTCAATATTTGAGCCTAAAAAGTTTGTGTTGAATTTTGTTCCTTAGTTACGATAGTGTTGCCATTTAAGACAGATTTGATGTTTTTATATCGCCAAACATGAACAGGTTTTTAATGAGTCATCTAAAAGGAAACTTCTGGTTGTCAAACTTATGGAGAGGAGTGTTACATAACACGGAAGCAAAAAGAAAAGTTCCAAGCCGAGCTATAAATAGATTTGTACAAATACTAACAGATTTAATCTCCGTGCAGATTATCTTCAAATCCTCAATTAAGGCAATGGAGAGGAGAATTGCAGATATACAGAGTGTTTATAAAGTTTCTTTACAATTACAATCAAAGTCTGTGCAAACTGTAAAGATACATCATGATATACCATGACATCTCATTTCTTCTCAGCCCTGAGATGCCATGATATAATGAGCTTGATTTGGCGATCCAGGAGAGCCCAAAATTGAGGATTTTTGAGATCTTTCATCCCAGCTCATATTTCATTTAATTGGGGTCATTAAACTTGTGTACACGTACCTGTGCTAATATCTGCTGTTAAATACAATGCCTATTATGTAATGTATTGACATTAGGTAAATGATTACATGATAACTATCATACTTATTGACAGTTATAACTCTTCCCATCTGATGTGCTCAGATCACAGAATATGCCTCATAATATCAGAGCATGTTTCAGGTGAAACAGAAAGATGCTATGAGTATCAGAATGGTAAAGATACTTAATGGCCACCCTGCATTTATACATATGTACAGTAAAATCTGTTAAATCTCATATACTATATTGTATGTCGCGGGACTATATGATAGATTATATACATGCGCATACTGGTAAAAATGGTACCATAACTTCCATTAAAAGAACAGAGAAAATATTGTTTTCCAAATAATTCATCAAGAACAAAAAACATAAATCGCTTTACTTTAATGTAAGACGATACAAGTTCATAATCTTAGGAACATATAATTTCACTTATTTTCATACAACTTGCTATAAAAAAAACAGTTATCAAATAGTGCAATTCTTGATTTTTCTTGATTTGCTAATTTTTCTTGCACCGTGTTTACATTAATGTATTTGATTGATCACACACGAGGGGCGTATTAGGGATGTTTCAGCTATTCGGAATCTGAAAGTGAGCTTTACAGGGAAAGTGAAAGTCAGATTTCAGGGGTCATGTCATAAGGGTTTAGAAAGAAACAACAATTTATTTCCAAAATTTATTTATGAGTTTTTTGAAACTGTTGGTGAAACAGTTAATACGTTTCATGAAATGGTTGGTAATTTTCTGCCTAGAACTTTTGGTATGCGACATAACATGTCACCTCACAATAGACTACTCCTCACATTGATCTGGCTGAGATCGTACCCTTGTCTACTCTCCCTGATGTTCGATGTTAGCATTACAACTGTGTCACGAGTCATTAATGACGTTTGGCCAATATTATGGGAACTATATGCATCCAATGTACGCTGGCCATCTCTTGAAGAATGGAATACAATGAGGAATAATTGGAATGATCTCCCATTTGCAATTGGCTCTATTGATGGAACATCCCATGAAATTAACAGGCCAGAAAATGAACCCCAATCACTTTTTTACTCTGGAAATAGAGGATACCATTGTATGCATACCCAAGTAATAGTAGATAATAACAATGACCTTCGTTATGTCCATAGTGGCTTTTTAGGTCATATGAATGATGTACAAACATTTGACTATATGGCAAATATTGGGCCTGGGGTCCTTTAGTATTCCCTGTAGACTTTTAGCTGATAAAATATATCCATGTCGATACCCACTCCTTAGGAAGTATAAAAGTTCTGAAATACGCAGAAAACCCCTAAATTTACGTAAAAAATGTACTAGTAAGCGGCTAAACAGAAAAATTGGGAGTAGGCGGAGTTAGGTAGAGCATGTGATTGGTCACATCAAGGTTTTTAAGGTTATAGGTACACTTTTTCGCCACCCACGACAACATCTGGCAAAGCTCACAGAATTGTGTGCCAGTCTTGGTATAAGGAGGGTTAATCTCTTTGAGACTAGCTACTTAAACTGCTCAATCAACTGTTCTATCAATACATGTAATATTCAGTACAAGAGAATATACTTTGTGTCATATTTCTAATAAATGTAATCCACAGCGAATAACAAATAAAAGCATCTTGAAATTATTTTAATGTTGCTATATTCTTTAAAAAGCACATAGATGTTTTTAGCTTTGAAACTATTGATTTATCAGTTATAATAAACGTTTAATGCAACTGAACTTATGACATGACCCCTGAAATCTGACTTTCACTTTCCCTGTAAAGCTCACTTTCAGATTCCGAATAGCTGAAACATCCCTATTACCCCATTGATTCTGAAATGATACCATGGCAACAAAGTGGTGTATCAGTATTTAGAAGCATATCAGTATTCATTATATTTCAATGATCGTTTATAGTTATCAACCATGCTTTTGTATTTGTCTCTGTGTAGCACTTTTCATTGCTTATTTCTTTAATGTACATATTACACAGAAAATACACACTGCAAGGGAAAACGTTCACATAAATATACGAACATGCGTTCGTTGAATTATGACTCACCCTTTCGACAGTCGATAAATACCAGATACAAAATTTAAAAAATCGTAACAACGTATTGTGTCATTTGTAATCCAATGTTTATCTGATACTTTCAAATGTATCACTCACTAATCACACGTAAGGAACTTACTTAATCACTCCGGGATTCCCATTTTAGTGCTCGAAGCGCTAAAATTTTGGTAATCCAACGTATCAA